ATAATTTAAATTAACTACAAGCAGTTTTCATTTTGAAATTGCTAAACATAGCTGATTTTACTACCATTTTAGTTGTCTTCCCACGCAATCTAATTCCCAATTTCAAAAATAAAATATACTTTACTGAAATTTTATTTGCGGAATTTTAGCTAATTTAAAGTTTAATTAATCTTATTCGACACAAATATGACTCAAATATCGCAGAAATGCATTTTTAACGCCGTGGTAGCAGTTTATTAAATGCGTTGGCAGCTTTTTTTCTACGGTGAGCATATCTGTAGAATTTACTTGAGGAATATAACGTGAGTCTTTTTTATATCATTTTTAACTACTCAGTAATCTTAAAAAATTAGGAAAATATTCTCCAATCTGTTTTATTGAATTTTAGGTACTTTAAATTTACTATAGTTACCGATCTTCTGATGTCATGTATGAATGTCCGTATTTACAAAAATCGGCATGTTTATAAACATACAAAACAATTCCAAAATTCTTTTTTAAATATTGAAGTTCGATAAATTGTTCTAAGCTTTTTCATTTATGATTAGTAAATACAAGTTTTTCTTAATAACAATATCACCTAACCTCTGCAAAATAAGATAGAATTTTAAGATTTAAAACATTAGAAATTATTATAATTAAGATTTTAAAAAATGAAATGAGTTGTTTGTAAAAATTCATTATTCATCGAAAAACCTTTATTTTAAAACAAGTGTCCATAATGTCTTATTCATATAAGTAATTAAAAGCTTTTCTTATTAAATAATCTTTTAGTTTTATTTCTTTTTTCTTTTTAGTTTTTGTTTTCCGATTCAGAGCAGATTGTCTATAACTTGGTTCTATTTTACAAAAAGAAATTGACGATTTAAATTTTCCAAGGAGTTCTGCTTTTAACTAATATAAACATTAAGTTCTGCATAGTTTAATTTCTTGAAATTTCATAAAATTAAAGTGTAGTGGTGGGGTAACAGATGTAATTTATATATATATATATATATATACACACACACCAAGATTTCCTGTAAGTCTCATTAAAATCCGACACGTTTTGCAAGAATTTCCAAATCAATGGTTTTTTTTTTTTTTCACCGCAAAAACACGTTAAAACTAATCTTTGCGTGAAAAACAAGATTTTTAACCAAAATTTTGAGCGTTCTAAAAAGGAAAGAAAAAATATAATTTAATAATCTGTTTTTATTATGTTTCGGGTCTCTCTTTTTTCATGGTATGCTAATTTTTAGCGAATCGGTAGAGATACCTTGAAGTATCCGATTTCACTGAAATAGTTAATTCTGGGACACTCTCTATATGCAGATCAATTGCTGATGTACTGACGATAATTGCGTGAAAGTGTCGATCATGCTCCAGATAAGAACGTTGAAGCCCAGGCATTGGACATCTCAAAAGCTTTGACAGAGCCTGGCATTCAGGTCTTCTCCACAAGTTAAGAATATATTATATTTGAGATCGTCAATGCAGTGGCTGTGTGAGCTGTGTAGACAAAAATTGAACAACATGGATTCTGAGGTCTGTGACTGTTGTCTTCAGTGGGTGCACCTGAAGAGAACCATGCTCAAGGGTGAGGTTTGGATTTGCAGAGGCTGTTATACCTGACGTGCTTAAAATATCCAGAGACTTTTATATTTCTTTTAATAATTGATGCTGAGTAAATGATTTGAACATGTTTTATCAATTAATGACGGGAATGATTTTAAATTGTCTTTTCAATTGATGGTGAAAATAAATCGACTTCTGTGTTAAATCTGTGTGTTTTTAACATCACCTGAGTTCATAATAATACAAATATTAACCGGTAAAACAGCCTGGGTGTCTATTTTACCGAGACCGGTAAAATAAGCTTATGTTTGTCTATTTTACCGTAACCAGCAAAAGAGCTCCTTCCTGTTTTTTTTTTTTTTTTTTAAACATGTCCCACTAAATAGAGAAAGTAACAAATATCTATTGACATTTTCAGTTACTCCTGCTGTTAAATTATTCGCTTTTACTCAATAAAGTTATTTGCCGAGAGATTCGAGTTTTACTCGTCATTTTGTATAGCAAACTTAACGTCTGTATAATTGCCAGTTTGAAATTTAAAATATAGGTAGTGGATTTACGTGTTATGACTGCGAAATATGCAGAAATCCTGTTTAATCCTTATCATCTAATGAAGATACATTTAAATATTTTAAACAGTCATTGGCTATCGGACTGAATGAAAACTTACCTTAAAGCGCGAAGTAATTAAAAAAATCAGAGACATACTTAAAAAAGGACAACAAATAATTGAAAGGAGAAAACAATAACATGTCAGATATATATTTGCACACTTTATTACTATTGTGTTTTCAAGTGAAACGATGGGTCAGTATCTGATATTTCACTATTAGCCATTAATGTGAGAATCTTTCACTTTTCCGACAAACCTTCATGTCCACATTAGAACAAAAAGTACGGTATTTTACATAGTTATTTCCCTTGTTTTCAGATGATCATCTATGACCTTAAAGTTCCATCCTTTAAAATACTTCTTATTTTTGTAAAAGTAGTTTAAAGACTTATATTAATGATGTATATCTTTTTCCCTTACTGTATTTGCAACTCAAAGTTTCATGTCAAGAGACTTTGTGTTGCACATACGGAAAGGGAGAAGGATATACCTTTTTTGATACGTATTTTAACTCCGTTTTTTATATATATATGAATAAATCATTTGTCTTAATATTCTGTCTTCAACCAGTAAGAATCTAAAAATTCATTCATTATCTATTTTTGAAAACAGGTGAATTGTTTTCAGTTAATTGTAATTTTACACAAAAAGTATTGATTCATCTTTCTTTAATAATTTTTTTGTCTTAGACAGTTCCAAGTTTTTCATTATTATTCTTATGATTCAAAAATTTTGATTGTTTTTTATTTTTAAATTCTCGTTCACTCGTTATTCACTTATATATTTAATTACGTAGTACGAGAAACACACGTGAACAGAGATTTTAACATGATTGAACTATTCATCAAATTTACGTTCTTGTAACAAATAGAGAAGTAGCAAAGAAAGGAACTTTTTTTCAGTGCGTAATATCTTTTTTTTCTGCTTTTTTTAAATCGGGAAATAATTTAAAATAACATTTAATAATGAATAATTTCTGTTGATTGTTGAAAGTAACGGAAATGTAGTTCTTATTCTTAATACAATAAAATATTTTACATTACGTCAAATAAACCTGAAATATTTCTCGTTATTTACAATAATTATTGATTAATATTTTATTGTGCGTGTAGAGGATATTAGGTGTGCTACCTTTATTAAATTATTTATTATGTTTCTTTTGTATCTGCGTAGGCATTCGTTGTTATGACTATTAGAATACTTGGATTTTTTTTTTATAGACAAAGGTTCTAAAGTTTTCATTATTCGAATCAGTACACCTAAAAAGCGAATTCTTTTGTTTAGTTCATATTTTAAATTGAGTAAGGATTTATTTTCGAAGGTTATTCCCAGAATTGTTACTTCGTCCTTGTTAAGATGAATGGTAACAATAAATATAGCGTCAATAATCCAACCCTCTACACGTTGCGGGTGTAGATGGTTGGGATAGGGTGTTGTTTTTTAAATATTTTCTAGAGTTGACATGTAAAATTCTGATAGTGTTGGAATGTCTATAACAACAAAATAAAACCCATACCCACTTCCCTACAACAACCGAATGCCCACACTGATACAAAAGTAGCCATTATAAACAATTTAATAAATAAAGCACATTTAATGTCCTCTTCGCACACAATATTTTTAACGAAATCAAAAACATGAAACAAATATTAATAATAATTTCCCTAATCACATGATATATGTACAACTTCAATATAGTCATTTTTAACAAAAGGCACGAAAACAAAACGAATAATGCGGACTGAAGTTCAGTTGGACGTGGTCAAGGATTCCATTAATGGTCGTTACACTGTCTTTGGCCTGTAGTAAAGGTGTTTTTATAACTGAAAAGAATAAGAGAAAAATATGTTGGGTTTTTTTTTTCTGCTAGTTTTGGACTTTTGGTAGCCCGTAGTCTCCATTCGGAGATTTCTGGTAAGCATTATTGGTTTGTCCTTGTTGTTTAAATATTTTCTTCAGAGCCATTTTCCCCGCTTCGTTTCGGTCATCGAAGAACGCCTCCAAAGTATCTTTTTCCATATACACTTGCGAGATGGAATTGAGGAGTTTGTCAACTTTATCCGGGAAGTTTTCGATCTGTCCCTCTGGATTATCACTGTCGCCCGGCTTTGGTTTTTTGCTCATATCTTCAGGAGATACCGACGAGGCCCCTATGCCTGTCCAAGTTTTGAAACGACCCACCATAAAATCTACTATTTCATAATCATTCGACTGCTTGTCGAGGTCCTCCCTGACAGTGGCAAATGTTTCGTTCAGGATCGACAGGAACATGTTAATTAAGATGAACGTGATGGTTACGACAAAAAGGGAAAAGACGATGGGGAAGATGATCGGCTGAATTCGCTTCATCCGTTCAAAATCAAATTGACCCATCATCATAAGGAAACCAGTCTCTGCCCCGGTGACGAAATTTGAAAACTCTTGTAACTGTTTGAAATATAGCAGGTAGAAAACCTGCACAAACGCCAAGAAAAAGATCCAAAAGACTAAACTGAAGTTGAGCAGACCGGGCGCACTCTCACGGAGAGTGGTCGACAACAGGGACATTCGTTTGTTGAACCGGAGTAATTTCATGAATTTTAAGGTGGCTAGAAAGACCACCCAACCGACGATGTATGTAAACAACTGATTCCATAAAGCTACATACTGAAATTTCATATACTCGTTGCCTTGGGTCTTCTTGAACATTTCTGTTAGGTGGTTCGTCTCAAATGTTTTGTACATAAATATGAACATGCCTCCGATAGACAAGCTCACGATGCCCAACTCTACAAGATTCCAAAATTCCTTAACATAATTTTTACGTAACTTTATCAACGACTTAACTTCCTTAACTATAAAATAAATGAGGAAGGCAACAAAGACGATTTCGCAGAGAATTTGAAACAGTGCTGCCTGGGTCATATACGGTAAGAGTTTGCAGGGGTTCGAATCTGTAGGACGTTATGATACTCCCGGCCCCCGTGAACTCTGCTAGCATGGTACACACAGTGAACAGGTTCACTTGTGGGTTGTAGATTGTGAATTCGATGAAAACGGCTCGGGTCATTTTGTCGATCCAATTTTCGTTCTGTAAACGTGCCATCGTTTCGTGAAGTTTCTTCTGACTTCCTTTTAGTTTGACGACGTAACCACCTCCGCCATAAACGGCCATTTTCCCGTAGTAAGGATAGCCATCAAGCTCTTTCGAGTCCATGTATTTATATTCGTCCGCCATATTGCTGAATGTATCGTTAATGTAAAGTTCTTTCCATTTTTGACCGTAGACTCCTTCGTCTTGGTTCAGTATCGAATACTTCTTGTGGCATTCCAGACCCAAAGGCTTCAATATCTTGGCCATCTTGCATTTTTCTGTAAATATGAAACATGAAAACCGTTATTAATTATGAACTTATCAATCGTAAGAGTCTCAACGACACTTGCTATCAATATAAGAAAAATTAGTAACATAAAAACATTAATGATGAATTTAATAATAATCATATTTTAATTCTGTTTGTTTCTTAGTCATCATGTACGTTATGCTCTGTCATTACCTCAGATAAGCAACGGGCTATTCCTGTTTGAGGATAGACAGAAGAAAAGATATATCAAAGACACAGGTTGGTTTTAGAAAGAAAGAAAGAGACGATACCACTGTGTTTAACGTCTGCTTCAATGAAACCTTGTCAGTCTTGAATCATTTCTTTTTCTGACCTCTATTCATATTTATGATTGTTATTTTGATATTTTATTAAAGTTGTTAAGCTGATATATTTAATGAGGCAATAGGGGAATTTCTATAGTTATTTTATAATCAAGGAACTTACAAGGAGTTTATACAATCATTAACTAATAAATCATTAATCAATAATTAAGGTTCAAGCCTTATTTTTTTATTATGTGTCCCGGAAATTTCAACAGTCTCTTTCTGCTTCTAAGTCCAAGTGTTCTTTTCCTTTCCATTTTCCTTAAAACTTCCGAGTTGCTTACATGTTCCGCCCATGATATTGTCAGCCTCCTGTAGAACTACATTTTCCGACTTCAAGCTTCTTCTTCGTTTGCGAGGAGATTGTCCAGCATTCACTGTCATATAGGCTAATTGATATTGCATAGCAATCCAGCACTCTTTTCCTTATTTCTAATGACATTTTCAGCAATCTTAGATTTTTGTGTCCACCCCCACACAACCCCCCCCCCAAAAAAACGGAGTTTCATAAGTACGATTTTTCCCTCTACAGTTTTTCCCTTTTACTCCCCAGCAATAATTATTGGTTTTAAAAGCAGCGATTAGAATTTTAATAAAAAGTAAATATATGAAAGTGAATTTATACATTTTCTTTGTTCTTGAGAAATGAAAACGAAAATAATAAACACTATTTATTTATTAGATTATTTATTTAAACTATTTATTATATTGTTTATTGGAATGGTTGGAAAAAAACATCGGCTAATTGCCAATCGATTCGAACTTTATAAAATGGTAAATAATAAGGATTTCCTTACAGTTGGTTCAATTATTTTAATAATTTTGTAAATGATTATAAATTTATGAATGAAAATTGTTTTCATATTTATTTTTTATAAATCGGTAAATAATAAATATTGCATTGCATTAGTTTTAAAACGACTGCATTAGTTCTTAGAATGTTGTAAATATAAAGTTTTTCTTGTAAATAAATAATCTAATAAATAAATAGTATTTTTGTTGTAAATTCTCAAGAACAAAAAATATATAAATTCACTTTCATCATATGTTTAAGATTTATTACAATTCTAATCATTACTTTTTAAAACAAATATTCCCGAGGAGTAAAGGCAGTTAAAATAATAACGGTGTCAAGGGAAAAACCGTCCTTTTGATATTCCATTTTTTGTTGGTACGAAGGTCCATGATTACTACATTTTCCTACATGTTAATACTTTGTTTTCTAGAAGATAACTTTGTCTGCTCCAAAGCGTCTTGGTATTTTTGTATCATATTTTCCGTGGTCTATTACGACACTGCTCAGATAATTAAATTTCTGTACACGCTTTATGATGACGTCTCTAAAATAAAAGAACCTAAGTACGAGTTGGTGCTGAAAAGTTCTCGGCGTAATCCACTATCCAAAATCTGACCAAGCACCAGATATTTTCACGTAGTATTTATACATACAAGATATTATGTTCCACAAAAAAAATAAAAGTCCTAAAATCTTTAGAAAATTGCTCTTCAGAACTGGTTAAATTACCCCAAATGGGGTAAAAGTGTTTTCTCTTTGGATAACGACATGCCAGGGAATACACATTAAAACTTTCCTGGTGATGAGGTGGGGTGCTGTGGTTCCTCATTAAGCAGGTTGAACCTTACACCCTGAATTAAGCTTGTAAACACTGATTCGTTTATTATTATAATTCAAATTATACTCCTAATTAGAATTCCAGCGCCTACATATGTGAAATAGAATTGCCCACTGTTGCCCTCATAAAGAACTGTTTTTTACTGAATCCCGAATATGATCGAAGGTGTGTGTTCTGCTTCCAATTACTTCCAAACTAGTAAATAAAGTGGGAGATATTTCTCATTAGATGGTGATGAAATATTAACAGCGAATTATTAGCAAAATTGTTAACGGCTATTAAAGCCATGTTAGAGATTATAAACGCTTTAATCAAATACATCATTTGCTTAAAAAATGAAATATATTATTTACTTTACAGACTTCAAAATTTCATACACAAAAATTTATATATATATATATATATATATATATATATATATATATTTAAATTTAATGATCAAAAATCCTTTGGTGCTTCCTTTTAATAATGACAATTTTGACGATAAAACATGGTTTTTGATTTAAACATTTTTTCATAATGCTCATTTTTTTTCTTATTTATGTAAGTTCCTTTGGAGGCGTAAGGCAAAAAATATAAATGTATGTATTTTTGAACAAATTTTAAAGGCTATTTCTGAATTTTGGTATGAATTTTAGTAAATAGAAGTTCTTTTAGATTTAGGGTGAATTAATATTTTTGAGTGAATTAACAGAAAAGATCCCTCATCATATTTGCGTAAATTCAAAACCTATTTGTTTTTCAGGAGTGCAGTTTATGATAGCAATACTTTACGTCGAAGAGTGATAATTCACTTGGAAAAACATTAGTTACGAACCCTGATAAATTCACCACATGATAAATCACTCTTGTCGTAATAGTAGAAAAGTATGTTGCTTCGGAGGCTGCATTTTGCTAACACTGAAAACTAAACACAAAACTCATAATACTATTAAACTGCATCATGTGTCTAAAATCATTACTGCATCATGTGTCTAAAATCATTACTGTCATTAATGTTTAAAATACATCTGAAAACATATCCGCCCCGAAACATTAGCCTCTAAATCTTTTAGACGCTAAACATCTTATATACGAAATAATTTTATCGGTCTTACCCCAAAAAATACGTACAAGAAAAAATAAAAAGAAATTGTATTTAAAATTATCAGATAAAAGATATAGAATCAGGAATATTTAAATTTAATATCTGGTTTACCCTCCTCCATTTTTAATTTCTGATTTTTACAGCCACACTTCTGCTTGCCTTGCAACTTACCTGGTGTGGCTCTCAATTGTCGCATGACTGCATATCCCATCATACGAGATACTTTGTCTTCCATGAAACCACGGAGCATGAGAGGTGGGTCACCATTGTAGTATTTGCCCGCTCTTAGAGTAGAAACTAGGTCATTCTTGGCCCATTCCCAAAATCCTCTCGTGTTTGCAATCTGTTTAAAAAAAAAACATCGATAGAAGGCAACAACAAATACAAATAGATATTTTTATTAAATCACCCGAGGAAAAATCAAAATTTAACTATACTAATAAAATAAATCTATGAAATATAATAATAGGAAATAATTGTGTGGAAATGACTTCTAATGAAAATCAATAGGGCTTTTCTTCAAACCAAACTTTGGAATGATATATAAAAGGTAAGTGTTCGAAAAATACAGTATAAAATTGTCCCTACACGCTAGTGTAGCAATTCACAAATATTTATAGTGATTTACTAAGCGAAGCTTAGGTGTGGCACGAGGCCCAAAGTATGGAGCACCTAGTGAGAATCGAACTCACTACTCAGTTGTAATTGATTTGCCAAGACACGTAGTACTTATGCAAGCACACACAGTTATAATCGATCCTGCAGCATCAGCTTGTTATCCATTACACTACGTCGAAGTGATTATTCACAAGTATTTATAATACTCACTATTACGATATTAGTATATAAAAAATATTACTGAACATGGGTTGTATCATTTCTTCTTGTTTTTTTTTTTATGGACTCGGGTGCATATTATACAGATTCTGGTTGGTTTTGAAAATATTTAATCAAAGAACATCGAAGTAAAAGCAGTCGCTTCGGTGTTGGGTGATGGCTTGCGAAACTCGTTTGGCTTCATATTACGACTAAATATTGAGTTCGCTCCATACCCTCCTTTTCATTTCATACCATCACTATATTTTTCTATGGACATCTGTATATAAGAAAGTTTTCTGTCATGGGGCCTTTTAGTAGGTTCCCTGTGAATATGGGGTATTGTGGTACATGTAGGAGTAAATGGTAAAGGAGGGCCTCTTGAGGAGAATGAGTAGATTGTAGTGTATGAATCTGATTAGCTAGGTCTAGGATAGATCCCATTTATCCACTTTGGGCCTTGTGCCACAATTATTGTATTTTTACAATAATAAATAAGAAGTATTGAGTTCGGTCCACACTGGGTGCCCTATAGAGAATTCGGTATTAAGCAATCCATCAAGGGTTGACATGTCATAAAACTAAATAAGCGAAAGCAAAAGATAAAAATGTACCATGTAATAATAATCACTTCGACGTAGTGTAATGGATAACAAGCTGATGCTGCAGGATCGATTATAACTGTGTGTGCTTGCATAAAAGGATTCGTGGATCTAAGCTATCAGAATGTATGCTATAAATAGATTCTGGCAAGCTCGGTGACTCCATAGATTCATAAAAGCGCAAGTCCCCGACAAAATATTAATAAATGTCCATTTGCATGGACATTTTGAGGCTATAGGAAATGGGTATTAGCGCATTTGCAAGAGTTCGTGCCCGATTAGAAAATTAAAAACAAAATTTTACATACTCACAAAAAACATTCCCAAAATTAACTTTCTATTTCATTGAAATCGGAAAATTTAAAAAAAAAAAACTCATTTTTATTTCTGTTCATTATGTTTAATATGTGTTAAAAGAGTATAAATTTCTAATTTTGTTTATAACACTATAATTTTTATAATTGTTTTCCTAATTTTATCTTCATTCCCTTTCAAAACCCTATTAATAATGAATACACAAGAATGTATCTTTGTTGCCCCGCCCTGAATTTCTTTTCATGGGGTTTCATAAAAAAAAAAGGTTTATCGCCAAAAGATAAATAGATTAGCTGAGATTAAAGAACGCATTCAGTAAGCAACTCAGCAGAAAATGTGTTTTGCAACGCAAAGAACAAATTTGAAATTCACAGGGATGCAGACGGAGCACATGTTGAAAACTTTCAATGAAGTTTTGACTTAAGATTTATAAATCTATTTGTTTTGTATCATAATCTTACTTATTATAAAACGCAGATTGTGTGTGTGTGTGTGTGTGTGTGTGTGTGTGTGTGTGTGTGTGTGTACGTTTATATATTGGATCGGATTTCCTACATTTTTCAACCGATTTCAACAAAACTTCACAGGACTGCTTAAAATTACCTTGTGGTGGTTCTGGCAGCACCAAAAATTGGAAAAACATAATTGTTTTTGCACGAAATCAATTTGAAAACACGATAAAAGACGATTCTGTCGCTAGAATGAAAGGGGACAACTCATATCGAGTTATACATTATAAAACCCAGGTTAAAACCCAGGTGTGTGTGTGTGTGTGTGTGTGTGTGTTCGTTTATATATGGGATCGGATTTCCCTACATTTTTCAACCGATTTCAACAAAACTTCACTTTTTTTGGCAGATAGTGTTTCTTATTGTCTTGCACACTTTTTTTTATTTTTACATTCAGAATGCTTTAAAATTCCATTTACAAGACAATTGTTTATAATAAAATTCTATTCAATCGATAGACTCATAACGATTGAAAACAATGTTTTTGAGTTTGAGTTTGACCAATTCGTAAAAAAAAAAAAAAAAAAAAAAAATAAACTAATTAAGACATGCGTGTCCGTCAACCTTAAACAATAATCTTTGTCAATTTTATTTATCAGTCTTTATGCTGGTCGATACTTGATCTATCTCTTACTGTTACATCCCCGAGCAATGCTGGGCTCTACTGCTAGTTAAGTAATAAACATAAAATTGCGTCAGTTTAAAAATGCTCGATTTCATTGAAATAGTTCATTCTAGGACACGCTATATACAGGGTGGTCTGAAAGTTTTGTCACCCCTCCCTATATAATATAATTTTCTATTTCAACACTCTGTGGGGGTATTATCAAGGAGAGAGTTTCACATGAACGATACCAGAATACCCATCAGTTGAAAGACGCTCTTCGGAAAGCCTTTGCAACAAGCAGCTTTGTAAAATATCACACAGGACATGGCGCCGCATGATTTCGTGCCACGAAAATGATGGCTGTCCATACAGACCTTTACGATGTGTGACAGCGTCAATGAAAGTGAATAAACTGAATCCAGTACACGTGCTTTGTATTATTGTATAACGTGGTCTTCTGTTGTCCCTATTGCTTTTTGGTAAGGGAGTGACAAACTTTCGGACTACCTTGTATAATTTACAAAACTTTGGAAAGACTGATTTAAATATGCCGAAAGGTTCACTGTATCATTCTTATGTATTTGTATTTCTTGTATATGCATAATCTGCAATAACTGTTTACAAAAAAAAAAAAAAGAATTATTTTGATGAAAGTCAGGACTGAATATAAAATTTCTTTTGCATCATAATTAAATTATAGAAATAAAATTATTTTTTTTAAATTGCCCGATTTTATTGAAATCTGAGACATACTATATTTGTTCGATTCTGGAAACTCATTTTAATAATAGTCTTCTTTAATGACTGAAAAAATAAATTACCATTGATAAATTCTGAATTTTCTTGTATAAATACTTACTGAGCTAAAATCATTATCTGTTTCCACTAATTGTTTTTCCAATGCATACTTGGTTCTGTAGGCCCACGGACTCCTGTTTCTATAGCTGATAACCATTAGAATCCACAGGAAGAAAGCATATACAATGACCTCCTTGATAACTTCCCACATCTTAATTTCTTTAAGACGCTGGGCTCGCATCCTCTCCAGTCTTTCTGGATCTGGAGGTTTGTAAGCGCTTTTGCGAGGCCTGGCGGCTCCAAAACCTTTATGAATGATAAATTTACAATTACAAACTTACTTGGAAAGAATTCCATCTAATTTTACATGAAAAGGAAAAGTGTTTGGTGAAATTATCACAAAGGCATTTCAGAAAAATCAAACAACATAAAAAAAACAAAAAGAAACAAAACAAAAAAGCAGTACAACCTTCGCAAAAATTCCGAATAAAATTTTCACAGGATATGATTTTTTTTTACTATCTTTCACCCAATACAAGTTGTAAGTGCCACAAGGTGTAAGAGCCACTCAAGGTAGATGATTACTGAATGGGAATTCTCTAAGGACAAGGGCTGCATATTGCCACCAGTTATATTCCATCACCGCCGATCAAACCCGAACTACCGCCAGTCACGATGAACGGATGTCCCTCGAGCAGTCACCGTGTGCCTTGAGAGAATATTGGGCCTTAAACACATACCCGACCTTAAGTGGAACTTTTACATACGATCCATCGCTAAAGATGCAGGTAAAATGATTGGATCCCTGTACCTGACTCCTCATGCTGTCCTCTACCTTTATAAGAACCACATCAGGCCCCCAAAATGGAGTACGTTCTTATATTTGGGTAGGAGTTTCCCAGTCCTCACTTCCCAGTCTTGATAGAGTTCAAAAGCATCTCCAAGTTCTTACTGGAAAAGAATTATTTTCTAACCCCCCCCCCTAATCTATCTCTCACAAGCGGGAAGTGGTGAGCCTCTCACTGCTCTATCGCTACTTCCATGGAAAGTGCTCAGACGAACGACATTCCTTGGTTCCGGCAAGTTTAACCTTCACGGCTAGAACCCATCATGCCACTAACATGATAGCAAACCCCACCCACATTCCCTCCGTATTCCATCGATGAGAAGTATGTTCCACTCGAACTGCTTCTTCCCGCGAACCACTGTCCTGCAGAACAGACTCCCAAGAGTCAACAATCTTAACCTGTTCAAGTCTAGAGTTAACCTTTATCTTCCCCTCCTATCCATATAAACTACTCTTTAACATAACCCTCTACCTCGAGTGGACTCAGGGGCTTGTGTAGGATGAACCCTACTGTTAAAAAATGATGAAAATATGTAGACTCTTTACTTGAAAAGGTTAACGTTTTAGTGAGCAGAGAAGCATCCCTATGAGAATCCGTTCCACATTGCAACACTTCTGGAAAAGAAGCTATCTGAATGGAACTAACTTGGGAAAAGCATGAATCTATGTCTTAAGGTATAATAATTTATTTTTCGTTTATTTTTCTCTACTAATGATGAACGGTTCTACTCTCAATGAGACTGGAAAATCTATTGGGACTCGAGCTCAGAACAGGCTGCTGGTGGAATTACGACCCATCTCTAAAAACTCTGGGGAAATGGTCGGCTCCCTGTATCGCCCGTGAGAGTACTTGCATCCTCTCGAGAAGCTTTATCTTTGCAAGAGCCAGATCTAATCAAAAAAATGAGGTCGTATTGTTACATCTGAGCCGGTGCAGTCCAGTCTTCACTTCCCATCATCGACCGAATTCAAAAGCGCTTGTTAGGGGTTAATTGTTTTTCTCACTTCAAACCCTTCCCCACAGTAGAAACATTGCAAGTCTCTCGCTATTCGACTTCTATTTTCATAGCAGATGTTCAGATGAATTACATTGCTTGGTTCCACCAGTCCAGATTTTCACAGCTAGGATCCGCCATGCTACGCACACTGAATCGAACCATCCCCATTCCATCCATATTCCATTGATGAAGAGTAAGTTCCACTCAGACAGCTTCTCCCTGTGAATTTTTGCAATGTGGAACGGATTCTCAAAGGAATATTTCCTTGATCACTATAATGAATTTCAGTTACACTTAGCACTATTACATTTGGAAAAGACATCAGCCCACATCCCACTCTTTTCTCTAATCCCTAGACATTTGATAATAATATCTTATCCCTGGAAGACATAAGCCAACATCCTTCTTTTTTCTCTAATCACTAGACATTTGATAATAATATCTTATCCCTGGAAGACATAAGCCAACATCCTTCTCTTTTCTCTAATCACTAGACATTTGATAATAATATCTTATCCCTGGAAGACATAAGCCCACATCCCTCTCTTTTCTCCAATCACTAGACACCAGAGACAAGATAAAAATATCTTGTCTCTGGTATGTTGCAATGGTTTCCAGATAAAAGTGTCGATAAGTGAGCAGTTCAGATGACCACTCTCCCACCTCCTAGATAGTAATTATTGGTACACACATTGTTAACCTTGACAGTCAGACTTTTCACAATCGACCGAGACTAAAGTGTGCTAACAGTAATATGTATGCATGCTATTGTATAAGTTATATACATAATATAATTTCATTGTATTGTCGACTGACCGTCGTTCGTATGCAAAAATTCTTCATCGTCTCCCATTTCAACAGTTTCATCTTCTTCTTCTCCTTCATCCTCTTCTGCCGGGTTCTTTAAGATCAAGGACAACAGAATAGCCATTCCGAACACCTGGTATAAAATAAAATATAACCGAACGTCAAATATAGTTTTATATTTACGAAGTTACAGGTAATTAAAAATAAATTTTTTTACAAGTATAAGCCTGGGTGTATCGTATTTACCACTATACAAAGGACACTTTTTCTCTTAAAAAATAAAGCTCCTGCTAAACCCAGCTTGCCTCTTATACTCAATGCTGGGATTAGGGTATTTATTAGGGTAGAGATTATCAGTACCAGACTAACTTAAACACTCTTAACACACTAGTTTCCTGATCACCCAACTTCTACTTTATATGTCGTGTCCCTTCAGGAGGTACGCGATCATGACTTCCCACAACTTCCTGTCCTTTAGAAGTTAAACATATGAAACTAAATAAATAAATTATGATTACAAATCAATATAATTTTAACATATAAAAAAAGCAATTAGTTATAAATTCATAATTATAGTTTTAGTTTTTCTCTGCTAAGTCATAAATGGCCAAACTTGTTTAATATAAGAGCCACATACGATAAAGTCCAAATGTTTGAGAGTCGCAAGACATGAACAAAATTTACACATACGTTTTTGTTATGTACACATTAACATTAAACTTACGTTTTAATTTCAATTCATACCCAGTCAATAATTATTAAGCTTGAATTTTTTCTTATTTACCTTTTATATTAACTGTGATGAAAAAAGAGGCTCAACCAACATATTTTTAAGAGCCAAAATGTTAAATTTAGCCTGGTTTAGCCATATAGCCCTGTTATAGGTGGATGGTATATGGCGGGAAAATACGATATACAAAGATACATTATATGACTGTGTATCACAAAGAAGTTTTAGATATAGTGACGGGGACAGTAAATAATTGTAGGGTATGAACATCTAACGCTTCGTTCACTAATTTTCTTTATATGTTCCTTAGTATGTTCAAATTACGTTACAAAGATACGGTATAAATAATGATGTACAAAAACATTAAGTAAATACGCTGAAGGGCCAGAAATAGTGTTCAGAACAACAAAAATGTAGATATTAATTCAAATACTTCATAGCATGAGAATATTTCATCTCAATAGTTGAGAAATAAGAGGAAAATATTGTGATCAAGTTAAAAATGATTACACTGGTCTCTAAATCAAAGAATAACAACAGTTCATCGCAGATCATTACAAAGATGAGCATGCCAGTATCTATCATTTAAGGAATAACACCTCATTTCAGATCATCAGAAAAAAGGATAAGCCTGCCAGTCTCTATCATTTAAAGAATAACAACACTTCGTCTCAAATTATAAGAAATGCCAGTCTCTGTAATTCAACGATAATAAGAGACAAAGATGAGTGTGCCTATCTCAAATCATAAGAAGCATAGATGAAGATGACACTCTGTAAATTAATGAATAACATTTCATCTCGGATCATCCGAAAACTATGCCAGATTTGTAAAATATTCGTAAGTTATAAGAAAGGCGGTGGGGAGTGTGGATTGAATTGCTCGAGTTTTGCATTGCATAGTACTTGCTTACAGAAATGTAACTTGGCTTATGGCCACATCAACTTAAAACACCAATTTTCGTATAACCACCGAAGTTAAGCAAGGTCGAGCCTGATCAGTACCTAAATGGGGGACCGTTTAAGGAATAGCTGCAAGCTTGGATGTCCGAATGGTGAAATAGATAACAGCTCGGAAAGTGAAATCGGAGGAATGAGTTCAAATACTAATCGGTTTTGTTATATTCACTTACGCGTAAATACTTTTGGAAAAGGTATGAATCCATCTCTCCCCCCCACACACACACCACCAGCTATGGATCTATTCAGTAGGACTTGTATCAGTAAATCATTATTATCTCCCCCAAATTCTTACAATCTAAAAATAAGTTCTGGCTTTAAATAACCCACATACAATTCTTCTCCCCCTAGCTATGGGTTAAATAGTAAGACTTGTATAAAAAAAAAGACTTCTTATTATCCCTGAAAAGTTCTTAGAATCTCAAAAATATGCTCGACCTTTAAATAACTTGCAAAAGGTTGATAAACCATAAAAAAACAAATTAATCAGTCAATAAAAGAAATATAGCTCGTATACCTTTATTGGTTCTGTGATGAACACAGACGAGAAGAAGGAAATCAACATGGACGAAATCCACTTGGTGCATTTCTCGTTTCCGAAAGTAATTCCATAGAAAGTGACACCGGCGCAGCAGCCAGCGACGGTCAGCCAGAGGATTATCCACGAGATAATGACACACCACCAAGGAAACATGAACTTCTTCTTCTTTTTCTTGTCGTCGTCAGCTCCTCCTTTGCGCACCACAGGCGTGCGGGGTCTCGACATGCACGTACCGGGTCGGCTTTGGTCAGCACCTAAAAATTCAGAAATAAGCATTATTTATGGACCGAATAATGATTTTCCAAGCGTAGTTTGATGTGGCACAAGGCCGAAAGTTAGGGGGTTTCTTGAGGATCGAACTCACTACTCATTCGTAATTGTTTATCGAGACAAGCTTGTTAACCATTAAATTCAATCAATCGTGAGAAACGACGAAGTTGTAGAGAAAATGGAAAAAAATTGGAAACTAATACTTAACATATGCATGACGCAGCTGAGGTTTCTGGGGCACATAATGAGGAAAGTGGGTTTGGAAAATCTGGTACTCACAAGACATATTGAAGGCGAGATCGATTGATTGATTTTGCTTAGCGGCGTATCAGCATCAATAGGCTTTTTAATGCCGATATCTAAATATTTTGGACACAAAATATATTTTTAATGCAATTATATGCCTAAAACTACAGATAGACTATATTGCTGGTCACTTTACTATAAAAATGTAATGTTAGTAATTTTAGAGGACTTCATAGTAAACAATATTTTTTATGAAATTTTTTTCCCTTTTTTATCAGCGAAGAATAAATTCTTAGCATTTCTAACTCTTGAGCATGTGGCATACAACTGGCTATGCATAAATATTTCTTTCTGGAGCCAAATTCCAACTTTTTGAAAGGTTTATCCTTGTGATTTGTTTATAGTTCTTGCAAACACATGGCGAACTAGAAAATGGATTCTTGTCTATAAAAACTTTTAAAAAAAGATATGCAAAAAACAATATTGCATTTTTATTAAATAAGTATTTATTATTTTAATCATTAAATTGTTTTTAAAATAGTGAGAGTATTTTGTATGTTAAATAAAACTTTTAATTTTTCAAAAAACGTTAATGAAAATTTATTGTACTACGCACCTTAGTAAAACTAACTGTAATTTGTACCAATTACCCGTTTGCACTTCTTCCCAAAATTTGGTTTCGATCGGTCAATGTATTTTAGAGGGTGTGACAGATAGACGGACGGACGGACAGACGGACTAACGGAAGTCACAGATTTTTATATATAGATAAAAATGTATTGCTAGTATTTTTGCTATAAAAATGTATTTGTATACTTTCATAGTGTTTTTGAAGGGGGCACTAATTGCTATAGCTAGAAAGCTAAGATTTGCCTCTAACCTGGGTCGGAGTGAACCTGGAAGCAACAGCAAGTAAAAGGTTGTTGCACACTCCACAAAACGTTAAGTCTCCCAATTAGAGGCCTTACTGCCGAATCTAGTTTATCGTCATAACCAGGACTATTGAAGGCAAGAGGGACAAAGGAAAACAACGCGTCACATACTTAGTGAGCTTGAGTAAATAGATGGCGGAACAGGGTTTAGGAGAAATAAAAAAAAAGGGGGGGCAAAACCTATTAACGGAGGAATGAGTTCAAATACTAATCGGTTTTGTTATATTCACTTACGCGTAAATACTTTTGGAAAGATAATAATTAATTAAGCTTGAATTTTTTCTTATTTACCTATTATATTAACTGTGATGAAAAAAGAGGCTCACCCAACATATTTCAAAGAGCCGCATATGGCTCGCGAGCCGCGGTTTGGCCAGCCCTGTTATAGGTGGGTGGTATATGGCGGGAAAATACGATATACAAAGATACATTATATGACTGTGTATCACAAAGAAGTTTTAGATATAGTGACGGGGACAGTAAATAATTGTAGGGTATGAACATCTAACGCTTCTTTCACTAATTTTCTTTATATGTTCCTTAGTATGACAAGAAATTGTGGAGAGCCATGATCGCCTACATCCTGAGGAGACACGGCACATAAAGAAGATTTAAGTCGACATTTTATACTCTTGCGTGTTATATGAAGCAAGTAAAACATTATCTTGATGTTTTTAGAAGATGAAATATTGCCTAGCGTTTTGACTAGTAATTCTATCATTTTGATTTTAATTGCTTTTTAGCACAACTATTCAGACAATTGTAATGATAATATTAGCCGTTTCCTTATAAGGAAACATTTGGCATTCATTGACCGAGCAGCTTGTAGTCTACTCTTAAGTGCCTAATACAAGAGGTATTTTAATAATCAGGGGTGGTTATAATTTTTTTAAATATGCAATAAACGAAGTGGTTTGAATAAATTCGGCGGTCGGAAATCAGCCTCCTCCAAAAGTCCCTCATTCCATCTAATAGGTACTTAAGAATACAGCTGTCATGAAACAATGTGGATTAGAATTTTTAAAAAAAGAGGTTTCAGTAAAACACGAGTTTGTATCCTTTTTTTCCTTTGGGAAATCATGTCTGTATCCGACAGCTGCTCTACCGTTTGGGTTACAGGTAACATTCGTTGATAATGTCATCTTACGATAGCGATTTACACTTTCTTTTTTATCTGATTGATCGGTGGTATATTTAAATGTCTTGTTTTTACGTACTCGTAGTAGCAATTTCATTAGAGGAAATATTATCAATTATATTATTATTATTATTTGTGTATGTTATGTTTCCTGCTTTGTGTCCTTTAAAGTCGGGTCTGAACTATGGTCCGGAGGCTCTATAGGAGAATTGTCATTTTCTTAGTATATGGGATGTTCCTAGTAGAGTGATCTGGGTAACTTGATGTTACCTGGGATACGGTTAGTAAAATTGTCCATTCTTTTTCTCACGAGGCCCAGAGTTCCGATTACTATTGGTACAGTCTCAGTCTTCATTCCCCACATCCTGTTAATCTCGATCTCTGGGTCCTTGTATTTGGACAATTTCTCGATAATATTCATGGGCGTGTTTCTCACAGATGGTACTGTTATGTCAATAAGCATATAGTTCCTGAATTTCTTCTCATTTATGATAATATCAGGTCTATTAGCCTTTACTTCCCTAGTTTGAATTGGCATGTCCCAGAGGATAGTTACATCATTATTTTCGGTAACTGTGTCTGATTGGTGCTCATACCATCTCTCAATGGTTTCGATTTTGTGCTTCTTGCATATCTTCCAGTGCACATATGTCGCTACCTGTCTGTGGTATATATTCATTTTTTGCTAGTTCTGGACACCCTGAGATAATATGGTTGTCAGTTTCATCATATTTTCCGCAGATCCTGCATTTCTGGTTAATTCCATCCTTGATTATGTGACAGTGATAGAATCTGTGAAGCTTTGGCACTGAGCTGCAATAATTAGGGCTTCTGTCTCAGCTTTCAACCCGGTGCTCCTCAGCCACTGATGCGTTTTCTGTTGGTCCACGTCCGCTTCTTTATCTTTCTTTAAAATATTTGCCATGCAAATGCCTTGTCCTACCTGTTTTTTTTTTTTTATTAAAATGTTTTTTTTTTATTTTTTTTTTAAAATTTCATTTGGATTATTTTTATTATTATTATTAGTTTATTTTTATTACCATCTTATCCTGCTTTTGTCAGTCCTGTTTGTATCCTGATTAAATTTATTACTTCAAACTATGGTCCTTAGGCTCTATATGAGAATTGTCATTTTAATTGATAGCACATTTCTTAGTATATGGGATGTTCCTAGTAGGGCATTCTTCTGGGCAACTTGTATGTTGATTTTACCTGGGACATTGTTAGTAAAATTGTCCATTCCTTTTTTCACGAGGCCCAGTGCTCTGATTACTATTGGTACAGTCTCAGTCTTCATTTCCCACATGATGTTAATCTCGATCTCCAGATTATTATTATTATTATTATTATTATTAATTTTCTTTTTTAAAGCAGATATATATAATTTAACGATCAGGAACGAGTCATAACTGATCATGGGTCTTGTGATTTCTTAACCTTTCTTAACCGACAAAAATTTTATCAGATATCTAGCTGTCCTAATCAGTGCTGTTTTTGGAGAATCTCACTTCAAATCACAGTCCCTATTTTACCCAGCCATGTCTGGATTTTGTCCATCACTGAGAACTTAGGTCAGAAATGGCATTATGATATTTTCTACTGAGCATTTTTCTAAAACAAAACCTAAAAAAAAAAACATTTTACATAAATAAAGTCCTTCATAATGTTTGAGTTGTACTTGTGAGTACATTTTTTTTGTATTTCTCTAAGGCTTGGGATACCAGTGATCCCTTCAATGGGTTTATTGGAACCTTTTCCAATCAGTCCGAAGTCTTTAACTGGAATTATTCATGTGCCACATTTTTTATATTTTTATTTCAAGAGCCTTGTATTTTGATAGTTTTTTGAAGATCTTCAAAGATATATTACAATCTGCAGGGTCTACCATGTCAATAAGAAAGAACACTTCGTTTTTTTTTTTTTTTGTTTTTTTGCTTTTTTGTTTTTCACGATGTCCCATATGACTTTTATGCCAAAGTCTAACAAACGTTCTTTTCTTCAAGACTGCTAATTCCATGATTGCGGAAGAGGTTTAAATATATATATATATGACTAAGATTTACTTTATAAAATCTTCATATATATAATATTTGAGTGTATTTTAAAACATATTGTCACGGCTTAACCAAGAAGAATAAACTAAGACAATGAAACATACACGATGCTCCACATATAATCAGTCCTCCTGCATGGCGGTGAATGCTGGACAATCTCCTCATAGATGAAGATATACTTGAGATATAAATTTATATTCTATATATAGGATGCTGAGGATTATTTCTTTATTCTTTAGATCAAATATGTAAGCAACGACGAAGTTTTAGAGTGAATGGAAACAAAAAGGAAATTTATACTTAACATCAGAAAGAGACAGCTGAAATTTCTAGGGCATATAATGAGGAAAGAGGGATTGGAAAATTTGATACTCACGGGACAAATTGAAAGTAAAAGAGACAGGGGAAATCAATGAATAACTTAGCTTGAGTAAATCGATGGCGGAACAAGTTTAGGAGAAATAACGAAAAGACAAAATTTATTAAGCGCTACAAAAGACAAGAAATTTTGGATAGCTATGATCGCCTAAGTTCTGAATATAGAAAAAGAAGTATTTGAAATGATTTTCAAAGCAGGGAGACCCACCCCACTTCGAAGATTAGCGTAGAACTATTATCCTACTCCTATTATCAATGTTTCTCTCTAACACATGAAGTAGTAATACTTGATTAAAAACACATGATGTATAAAGCTCTGCAAGAAAATATCGATATCATATATACGGTTTTATACCATTCTCAGCATTAAGAAGATTGGTACTGCTCTTTGTCATTTCATCCCATCCACCAATAACCATTGGCTTGACGTCATTAACGGAAGCCGCTCCTCCGGCCTCGGCACTTTCTTTCAACGCTTGTTCGATTCGTGATGGCTTCTCTTTTCGAGGTTTTGACTTCCGGAATAGAGTGACAATTAACAAGTTCACCGGAAGCACAATCAAATTGCTAACAAAACCCATGGAGATCTGCAATTAGGAAAATAAAACATGTGAAAGAAAACCAAATCCGTTGTTCATTTAAAAAAGTTTGTTGATTAATCAACACATAATATCAGGTATATTTTTATATATATATACACAAATATGCATGCACACAATCTTTAAACACAAATAGATCCATTATATATATATATATATTATATATTTATATATAAAATCTTTATTCAAACATAATTTAAAATGGAATCGTCTCAAATTTAATCAGACCTACAAATTCAATTTTTTTGAATTTGTGGAATACAAATATCCCAATAGTAAATTATTACCAAAAATATATATATATATATATCCTTTATTTACATTGAGTTCTACCTGGATAGATGTAATTTTTTATTCAAAATATACATGTATGTGTATGCACCTATGTATATATATTTATACGTACATATGTATATACCGCTAATATTAGCTATATAAATATATATATATATATATATTATATATATATCAGAGATGAGGTTTACGTAGGTAAGGTAGGCAGTTCAGCTTGAATAAAATAGATCAGTAGCTACATTTCTTTTTGCACAATTTGCACATAATCCAACAAAATATGAAGGTTAAACAATTATGCATAAAATGCATCTTTTTTTGTAGATTTACTACATAAAAAAGGCTGCCTACCTCGAGTAATTACTGACTGCACGTGCCTTATATATATGATAAAGATTTAGTTGAAGATATGCAATATTTATGGTTTTAAGTGCCAATATCAGATACAGAGCGCATATAAATATAAATGTGGGCACTGAGGTCAACAATGGCGGTGACAGTCTGTTTCCATGTTAAACGAAATTTCAAGTCATGTTATATATATATATATAAATATATATATATATATATATATATATATATATATATATAAATTAAGAAAGATCTAACATTTAGGTTCTATACTATAATTTATATTCCCCCAAAATATATATATGGTTCATCAGGTCATATCTCTAGTTACCTTAATTTTGTCTCTTTCTTAATTTAATCATTTGAGCTAATATTTGCTCTGTTGTTACATTGAGCTCTCTGGTTTTACATTCTCTTTAAACAATTATCCCTACGGATTTCAAACCCTTCATTACCTTACTATATATATATGTGTGTGTGTGTATTTAGGCAATAATCCTTCTTTCATGCACATTTCATCTAATATTATTAGATCATATGAGAAATTGTATAACAAAAACTAAATCAAAGCACCTGTCTGTCGTATTCAATGAAATGTGTATTATATATATATATATATATATATATATATATATATATAAAGACTCAAAGGAAGATTTTTCTTTTGCCACGCGTTTCGTCCTCTGATAAAATTTGTCAAGGCAAATGTAATGATTTTATTTTGCCAAAAGTATTTATAGACAGAAGTTAAAATGTTCAAGAACGTTCATAAATATACTTCAGGCTAACTGAACGTCAGGAAGATGCAAAGTGATTTAAAAGCCTCTCTTTCACTTCGACCACATGAGTTATCTATCAGTGCTCCTTATATGGAAGTGAATGCCGGTCCATCTCATCACAAATGGAGAAAAGACTTCAGACAACAAAAATGTTTTTCTACAGAAGGATACTTTTATAGAAGATAGAAACAAAAACGACATATACATAACATCAGAAAGAGACAGTTAAAATTATTAGCGCACATAATGAGGAATAAAGATTTGGAGAATTTAACACTCACATGACATATTGAAGGTCAGAAGGACAAAGGAAGACAGCGTATAACCTATTTAACGAGTTTGTTTGAATGGTTAGCAGAAATATAGCAAAAAGACAAGATTTGTTAATGGTTACAAAGTACAGGAAGTTGTGGAGAGCCATGGTCGCTTACGTCCTGAAGGAGCACGACACAACAAAAAGAAGTGTAGCTGGTAGAAAAGGAACTTATGGTAGCTCATGTCGTCGAAGTGAAAGAGAGGCTTTTAAAAATCATGCCGCATGTAATTGTAAGCCAGGGGAGGTAATCCTGAAAAACGGATGCAATAACTAATTTCTTTACGAGATGAGTTCCAGTGAGAGCTGTTGTTTTAAATGCACCATTGCCGAAAATATTAAAATATTGCTCAACAGTTGAGAACAGAATTTAGCTTACCGTTTCAATGGAGACAGAGAAAGGTCCGAATGAGAGACCACCGCCGCCGCCACTCTCCTTTCCGTAGTAAAGAGCATTCGCAAACATAGACGTAAATAACAAACAGAGACAACAGGAAACTCTCTGTACACGGGTAAAGGCGCTGCCTGGAGGTCGGCCAACCACGGAAAACCAAAGATGACCGTCGCCAAGATTTTTACGCGCTCTTTTCGAGAACATATGGGAGAAGTTCATGAGTTGTTCTTCTAAGCAACGTTTATGATTCGGTCAATCTGTTGGGGGAAAAAAAGCACAGAGATTAATTATTTAGAAATCACTATGAAACGAATGCTCATTGCGCATTTTATGCCATATGTACGAGGTCTGATCAAAAAGTATCGGGACTGGTGCTATAAAAAGAAAACTCCAATCCCTGTTCTGGCATCTCGTCTACAGTCGCTCTCTCAAAGACACGCCGTCGCCTCTCTCTGTCTTTTTTTTACAAATACTTTCATGGTAATTGCTCCGAGGAGCTGCATTCGCTGGTTCCCAGACTTCATGAATTCAAGCGCCCTACGAGGCTGGCATCCCGCTCTCACCCTTTCACTGTCGAAACTACTAAATGTAGCCGTCTCTTCTACTCCAATAGCTTCATATCTCGCACCTCTCGCACCTCTCGCACCTCTCGCCTGTGAAACTCCCTTCCCTATTCCAGTTTCCCTGAGCGCTATAATCTCCAACTATTCAAACGTAATGTCAATCGACATCTCCAGTTGCCTTGATCTATCCACTATCTTTCTCCTCATCCTTTCCTCTATCACTCCTATCTGATCTTGCTCCAAATCTTCTGTAACCCATTGCGTCCTAGTGGCTTCCCGCCTTGCTTAGGGTGAAACGCTTAAAAAAAATATATCAATTCGGCATTTAATATCCTTCGAAGTAGTCTCATTCAGAATCCATGCACATTATCCAGCGTCGTTTCCATTGATGGAAGCATTCCTCGAACTCCTTTTTTTTGCGGGGCGAGCAGCTGCCATGTCGCATTCTCTCTTGGATTTCTTCGACGTCTTGAAATATTGTTCTAGATATTTTGAAGAGAGGAAAGAGTCGCGAGGAGCTAAATCTGGGGAATATGGTGGCTGTCGGACCTGGCGAATGTTGAAACGAGCCACGAACACTAATGGAACCTCTGTGGTGTGGTGAGACGATCACACTCTACACACTTTCCTTCCATGCACTTTTATAAGCAAACGTTATAACTTCATTGGCGACAAAGTTCAAGATCAGTCTGTTCCAAGTAGCTTCACTCTGTCCTGATACTTTTGGATCAGACGTTATATTCAAGTATATTTATTGGAAATGATCATTGTAAAAGTAATAGCTATTTCAAAACAGCTTTACTTTGTTCGTATGGATATGTTCCAAGACCAGCCAGCATATACCTGAAACCGCAGATAGTATCAAACTCCCTCCCTCCCTCTCTCCTCTCTCTCTCCCCCTCTCTATCTATCTATGTATCTATCTCTCTATCTATGTGTATGTGTACGTGTGTGTGTGTGTGAATAACATGGTCAATATTAAACAAACATTGCATTAGAAATCAGTAGATAAATAAAAAGTACAATGACTTATTTTTTAAGCTACCTGCCCCAGACGAGCGACTTTATGTCTACATAACTCCGAGTTGGAAGATAAGTTATTGAACTTCTTATTTAACTATGCACGTGTTAATGAATCTGGATCGATTAAACTGTTTATAAGCCGCCAATGGTTGTGCTAACATGAAATCACAAGTCGCTGTGACTGAGGGTTTCAACGTACTGGCCTTGTTCAACTTCTAATCAAACCAGATTAACTCTCTCTCTCTCTCTCTCTCTCTCTCTAAATCTCTCTCTCTCAAAACTCTAAGGTCTTAGCATAGTTTCAATACGAAGCATAGTTTGGCTCTTTTGGTTTTATTTTTGACAATAAAACTCACCTGACCATCATCTTCTTCCACGGCAAACCACCTGTTCACTACAAAGTGGAATTTCTGTCCGGTTTGAACGTCTCGCACTAAAAAGTGCTTCAAATACCACGAACCGAATTTGCCTTTGCCGGAATTGTCGTGCCAAATACGAGCGTAGCTCAAGGCTCCAAGAGGTCTAAAGAAAAAAAAATAAGAAAGAGAGGAAATAAACATTAAAAAGTTTCAGAATCCCGTATAACGATGTCTTAAGTTGTTTGAATTCTTAACTCTCCGCTCGTACCGTAAGATGTTTGAAAACCACACAAAAATGTTTTTCTTAATATTTAGCAAGCGGAAAGTCAAATATTTTGACGAGAGTAAAATTTAATCATAAAATGCTTTTTTTTTCTTTTTGTTATTATAAAATTTCTAATAAAAAATCAGGTCTCACTTTTTTAACCATGTATAATAATTTTCTCTTATTTAAAGTAAAAACAACAACTTTTGGGGCCAATTTAAAAAAAATTACCAGTGGTCACCTCAGACTTTTGAGCTGTAGTATATATATATATATATATATATATATATATATATATATATATATATATATATATATTTGAATAAAAGACAGACCACGTTAAGATTCCATGTGTAATAAGCTATTTCACCATAACCCCTTTTTATTCAAACATATCTGCTCTGAATTTTACATTGAGCTGTCTGGATATCATCCTCCTCAGGTCTACCCATACGGATTACCTAAGTTTGCATAAACTATATATATATATATATATATATATATATATATATATATATATATATATATATATATTATAAATACAGATTTTTTGAAATCAGGCACGTTACCCATTCTTGGTCCAACACAATATTAAGACAATCATTTTTTCTTGTTAACCTTCTATTCGGTACTGGATTAAAGTAATTCTAAACCCTGATCTAGAAAATTTAGTAGGCCGAAAAAAACTAATAGCATGTGATCATGAAAATCAAAACCTCGCGTCTTCTTTTATATATATATATATATATATATATATATATATATATATATATATATATATATATATATATATATATATATAATACAATGAATGTACAACTTCTTTAGCGTTTATAAACAAATTAAATAAATATAAACATTTAATAAGTTTGCAAAATTATAGAATTAAAGGCTGCGTTCTTATATAAAATCCATAGCTATTTTGAAACATTACCCTATATAAAGTAAAAAAGAAAGTTTTTTTCCAAGCTTTTTTTTTGGGACACAAACTAGTTTTAACAAATTAACAGCATTTTGTCCTTTGTTTTGAACATAAGTTTGGCTTAGGTACGCCCCTAATTTTTATCACTACAAATTAAAAGAAATAATAGTGAATTTTTCTCTTTTTTTTTTTCAGGAAGAAACCGATATATTGTATATTATGAAGGATTGAAGTCCCCTACCGCTTGTATTTCACTAAGCTTAGTAAATATACAAACCACATAACTATGTTGTATGACTATATAAGGGTTTCTTTTCTTCCTTACCTTGGTACAGCCATTAAAAATCCATCTTCGGAGCCTCTTTGAAGAATTTTCCTCTTGTCGTCTGATAATGTCCGAACTTCTGTCTCGTCATATTCTCCGGAGAGAATGAAATGTGCCTGTGAATCGAGGATTTATAAGCGCTTATTCAATGTACGGATTATGTAGCGGTTAGCGGCACTTGAAATAAAATCGGTGAGCCAAGTTCAAATTCTAACGTAGTCTGTTATGTTCAACTTCGTACTATTAACCTTGTAAAAGACATCGATTTATTTCTTCTCCCCCAGGGGTATGAGTTAAATAGTAGGGCAGACAAGGTTCTCTTGCTTTAACTCTCAGCCAGTCTAGGAAAAGGATTTCTCTGAATTTTAAAATTGGGAAAGCAACTAGAAATCACTCAACTGTCTTTCCCCCAAGAAGTCATGGCAATAATAATAAAGAAAAAATATCTGACGAGAGTCATGATCGCCCACGTCCCGAATGGAGATGGCTTTTTTTTAAAAAAAAATGCGAAATGTTTTCAACTAATTCAAATTAAACTCAGTTCAATACTTCAATTGACTTGCATGTAGCTTTTTGCGTGTGAACGCATATATATATATATATATATATAAAGAAATATAGTCTTAAGGTGTGCTATATTTATGGAATAAAGTGCTCAATATCAGAGATAGAGCGTGTGTAAATATAAAAGTGAACATAGCATGAAAACAGACTGTCGCCTCTAAGTGTTGACTTCTATGTTCACTTTTATATATATATATATATATATATATATATATATATATATATATATATATGGTGTATTATATTTAAGGATATATATATTATGTATGTTTTTATTCTAATAGTTTCTTTACTCGCACTTCTCTCCCGGTTTCTTGCTTTCCTGTCAATTACGATCTTCAAAAATTTAAATGCAATGTCAATCGCCATCTTGTGTCTTCCTGACTCCTGTTCTTTTATTGTTCTTTCACTACACTAACGTCTTCTCGTTCTCTTTCACTTTCAGTAAACCCTTGCGTCTTTGTGACATTGTCACCTTGATTGGGTTTAACTGTGTTTTAAAACATATATATTGTTCCTGTATTGCTGAGCACTATTAATTACACAATAATACATTTATTACTCTGTTTTTTTGAGGATTTTTTCTTCTCAAATTATGTAATATTTTGCTATTCCATCATTTGCCGTATGGATATTTCCTCGACATCTCGGTGATTTTAGTTGGTGATTGTAGTATTGTTGTATTCGCCAGCTCCCCATATTGTAAGATCTTGCGTTGGTCGAGTTGTGGAAGTGAGCATATCACCAAAAGACAAAATACCGAACACCAGATAACAGTGTGTTTAACAATGCATAAGATAGATAGATAGATAGATAGATAGATAGATAGATAGATAGATAGAACTAAAAGTACTGTATAGATAAATATGGACATAGATAGATAGATAGATAGATAGATAGATAGATAGATAGATAGATAGATAGATAGATAGATAGATAGATAGATCATAATTAAGTAATTCATCGAGTTTAGAAGAATCCTCAACAGAAAGCCGAAAGCACTGGACAGCCGTTTCGTGGGACTCATCCACTACCGAGAATTGAAACCCGAACAGTTAGGATATATCAACTGTACCAACGGGCCTCGGTGACGAAGAGGTAACGAATTAGACTCGATATAGCGCCATTCGATATATATATATATATAATAAAAAGGCTTAAACACTAATATTCCATGGTGATAATTTATTCCATTGGAATCGTAAATACGATCCAATTCATCAAACCTACAAATTGATGAATTGGATCGTATTTATTTATTCCAATGGAATAAATTAAACCATGGAATATTAGTGTTTAAACCTTTTATTATATCCTTACTCTGTCCTGGACATTGAGTTCTACCTGGATTCTATCCTCTTGGAATTTTTTTTATACAAATATATATGTATGTGTGTATGTATATATATTTATATATTTTATATATGATTGTATATGTATGTGTATATTTACCACTAATATTATATATCTATCTATCTATATATATATATATATAGAGAGAGAGAGATATATATAGATATAGATATATATTTATCAAATTTAGCCAAGAGGTGTAGACATAATAGTGCTCACCGTGGTTAGACAGATCTAAAAAATATATATTAATAAATACACATATACCTACGTTTGTTGTGCTACTCGAGTCTCGTTGGTTATATATATATATATATATATATATATATATTTTATGTGTGTGTGTGTGTGTGTGTGTGTGTGTGTGTGTGTGTGTGTGTGTGTGTATTTATTATATATATATATATATATATATATATATATATATATAACGTTGTTGGCGGAACTCGTTGCTAAGTATTAGGTTGCTCATCGGCATTTCCTTCTGTACGAAATGAGTCCAATGTTGGATCGGAAGAGATGTCCGCAGATATCTGATAGTAAGCTACATGCGATCAAGGGATTGAGTGACCCAACTGGCTAGTTAAAAATGTAAACGGCGATCCCTTTTGTTGATGCCTTTTTATCTCTGGACTATAAAAACTTTTCGACACCCGGCCTGAAGAAGACGGGCGAGAGAAATTACAAACCAACAACCCCTTCTAACAAGGAAGAGTATACAAAATGTTAGTTATTTGGCGCAGTGGCCAAGACCTCTCCAAAAGAGAGGGAGCATTAACATTATATATATATATATATATATATATATATATATATATATATTATATTCCGATTAGGAGGAGAAAAATATCGAGAGAGACTGTAGCAAATGTGAAATATGAGCAAACTGAATTGGTTACATTTTAAAATACTTTGGCAAAAAAATTTATGCTAGTGTAACGGATATCGGCACGAAAAGTGGAATCGGAGAGGAAAATTCAAATTCCGGGCTTGGTCGGTCGCGTTCACTTTCGCACTGATACCCATGCGAAAGGCATGAATTGGTCTCTTGGTCCTTTTAAGCAGTAGTGTAGACTAGGCTCTCTAGCCTTCGAAGGTCATCAGTCTAAAAGAAGAAGAAATTTAAATCCCAAGCCGTGGAAAAGGCAACGGAAAACCAATGCATTATATTTCCCAAGAATACATGGAAATCCACAGATAATAGAGAAAGCAATTCTATCAAGAGTTATGATCGTGTACGTCCAGAAGGGACCTGGCAATCAAAAGAAAATGCTTCCATATATCAATTGAAGTGTTACAAGACTATATCCGTTGGACTTATATAAAACTTGTCAACAATTTTCAATGCCTTGGTAGGACTCTCTCGCAATCCGGAACACATGAACCCTGTATGCAAAAGATCTGAAAAAGCTTGAACGTTTCTAGCAAGCCCAGTTCCTGCATATCCTCAACATCAAATGGCAGGACCGACGCACTATCAACGAAGTCCTCAATCTCTCGGAAATGCCTCATGTGGTCTCTTCAGGATTCTGGCAGACTACCCTTTACAGCTAGCTCGTCAATGACAAGCGACATCGCTGAGCCAAAAAAACGTAGATCCTAAGATCAACTGAAGTCTTCCCTCCTTCAAGCCGGAATCAGCGCTAACATCTGCGAAACAGAAGTCGCCAACCGTCCATCCTGGCGAAAAGCAATTCATTTCCGTTGTTCCACTTTCGTGGAGAGGAGAAAGATTGAAGAGGAAGTAAAAAGAAGACAACGTAAGACTCGTCAGCTCCAGCCAAGACCATCACCGGCCCTCTCATACCATCAACACCCGAGACTGGCCTCCTCTGTCATATCGGTTTCAGGCACCATAGAAGCACCGGGTGAACTAAACTCGGATATGAGTGGTGTCGACGACGATTTGACAATATTTTATCTCAGAAATATAAAATAACATTCTAAATTACAGAAGTCTCTAATTTCTAAATTTATTAACAAAATATCTAATGTCTATTGACCGCATCCATCAAGAGTCAAGAACAAATTGGTACGGTTCAATAAACGAAAATAAAACATTACTTAACCACGAAATGTATTTTATTCTTACCTTTGATGTTTTGCCCAGTCTTTCCTCATACCTGTAACAACCATTATTTCATAGTAATATTTGCTGTTGGAGTCATTGCACTTCAGGGGAGTTAGCCCCAACTGAAAATAAAACCACCAAAGAATATCATTTGTATGAATATATTTGCTTAGGATGTAGGAAAATGCTATCGATTCGGCCCACTTCTCAAAATCTAGCCAAGATTTAGAACTATCACTTTGCGGAAGAGGCTACCCTCTTCAAAATCTAATATCAACAATCGTTTCTCATAATATTTACTTCTTCCTCCTACTTTTACACCCTTACAACAATCTCATTCAGTAATCTTCATTTTGCAAATACCATTATTTTGGATGAGGTTGCAATTCTCATATCACCATTGTGCTTGTAGAACGATTTGAGAGTTGTGAATGACGATCTGAAAGTTGCGATAAAAAGCAAACTAAATAAGATGAGATAAACACGAATAAAAAATTAATAATAATAATTGATAATGTTTCATTTAATAGCATTTTACTCAAAATATTATAAGATAATTTATACTACGAACTACTGTTAATTAGTCGCTGATTTCTTCCTCTTTCAATTTTTTTATTCACCTCGTGAAAGTACGATGCATAGATTTTGTGAGTACTAAAAAGTGACTCATCAGAAGTTATTTCGATCCGCGACAATACTAATAAATTCTAATAAGTTCTGGACGAAGTTTATTAATATATATGGTTCTTCGTTTTCCAAGCATTGCCTATCTTGGTCATTTCTTTTCCTGATTCTTTGCCCTCTTTTCCTTTTCTATTACATTTACTTTATTGATTTTCTATCTTCTTTTCTATTTAGTTTATAGTTTATTTCTTTTCTAAATAGTTCTATTTATTTCTCACATTGACCCCTGAGTTGTTAAAGGTTAATTTCGAATTTTCAAAGTTTCCATGTAAACTGAACACAGAATAATAATTGTTAGGAATAAGGTGTCGCTGCCGACACATGAGTTTGAACATAGATCGCCAGTGAGTAAACACAAATGATCCCATTATTGAATTAGGTAGACCATGTGACCATAGGTGAAACGCATGTATGAAGTAACTGATGATTAACGATCGTCATTTCTAGTCTATCCTCTATTACTATATGGAACGCTATTCTTTACTTTATTCCCTATACTATTTCTCTATTCATATATATATATATAGATAGATAGATAGATAGATAGATTACTATTTGAGCGAGTATTATCGAGCAAGTACTATTAGTGCGAGATTATTCAAAGGCGTCTGACCCAGTATTGTTCGACGACGAACTATAGTTGTATCTGCGATTATAAAGTCTATACAACGAGCATTATGAAAGTGACCACAAGTATTCGTTGACATCACAAAAAAAGGCAACGAGTGTTCGTTGACATCACAAAAGTGGCAACGAGTATTCGTTGACATCACAAAAATAATAAATTTAAAAATTTTATGATTTAATTTGCTCTTTAAGTGATAAATATGAGAGCTCGACCGACTTCTGAAAATCTGTATTCTGATGGTTAGTGATTAAAATACAGATTTTGAGAAGTGGGTCAGGTCAAATTGTTTTCAGTGCCTCGTAACTATTAGAAACATACAGACGGCAATAAGTTATATTACTGAAGTATGAAGAAACAACACAATGCTTTCCTCATAAGCAATTTCTGTATGGGTTATGGCAATAAATAATACATTTTAATGTAATTAGCGACGTTAATAGTTTGGTACCTCTAATATATTAGCTATATCATTTATCGAGTTTAATTGTGGCACAATCCCATACATGTATGACGCACCAATCGAGAATCGAATTCACCAACCAGGTGTAATAGTCAACCAGACTAGTGTCCTTAATCATTACAAAACGTCTGCCAGTTTCTAGCTTTCCAGTCAAGTTTGATATTCAAAAATTTAAATTAAGTGTCGACCGTTATCTACTGTCTTCCTGGTTACTCTTATATTATTCTCGCTCCTCAATAATGCTTCTGATTTTTAAAATTCTTTCACGCCCACTAGCCCTTTGTGTCTTAGTGGTTTTACTGTTATTCGTGGGGTTAGTTCGATTAAACCAAGATTTTACTAATTTCAACTTATTTATTTATTCATTTTTCTGAAGTTTTTTTTTTATATGCCACACAGTTTCAGAACTACTATTTACCTTATTCGGACTATTATCCTCATCTCTGTTGCCATATATATCACAACTTTTCGGACGTTGTACGCTCCGGCCTTCTTCAGGTAGTTGTGATAAATATGGCAACAAAGATGAGGACAATAGTCCGAATAATGTAAATAGTGTACATAATACATCATCTGAGAAATATAGACAGTTTCAAAACCAGTATAGTAAAATCATTTATTGCCGTTTTAGGCTTAAGGCAACAAAATACAGGAAGGTGTGGAGAGTCTGCAATAACAGACCTTTCAGTGAGGATTCTCTTCGAATGATATTTAGAGCTAATCTGCTAACCACATTTCTACGAGAGGCGCCCTTACCGTTATCATTGCATATGTTCTTACCTTTTCGACGTCTTTCTTGTCTTGCCAACGTGACCAGGCAGCGAAGCCGATGTAGACGACGAGGATTACTATTTGTGTGATGTAAAGAGTTGGGTTCTCCGCAAAACTGGCGTTGTTGAGGACGCGGTCCCAATCGATGGCGTTGGGCGCGACCATGAGTCCGGCGGAGAAAGCTGTCATGTGATTGCAGAAACATTGCGTGCGCATTATATCGGTCTCACTCCCGACCTGGAGTAGATTAAATCGAATATTAAACAAAATGAAACAAGACAACAAGAATTATTGGAGATATTTAACTTAATATTTCGATATTTCAGTTTTTTCAATTGTTGTACAGAATTCTCCCATCACTAAAAGTCGACAAAGAGTGGTAAAGGGACAAACGCTATTTATCCCTCAAATGGCCAGTATCATTGACGTTTTAACAACCGCTTGCAAGTTATTTAAGGCCAGAAAATATTTTTACCCAAGAGACTGTCACTAAACTACAGGTGCTAGCATGGCTCACCTGAAGACATTCCCAGAAATTACAATAGTGATTCTTCTGTCAGTTATAATGAGAGCATCGGCCTGTTTGGCCTTATCCTTATTCACAGAAGTCTGTTTGGCCTTATCCTTATTCACAGCAGCCTGTTTGGCCTTATCCTTAGTCACAGCAGTCTATTTGACCTTATCCTTATTCACGGCAGTCTGTTTGACCTTATCCTTATTCACGGCAGTCTGTTTGGCCTTATCCTTATTCACGGCAGTCTGTTTGGCCTTATCCTTAGTCACAGCAGTCTGTTTGGCCTTATCCTAATTCTCAGCAGCCTGTTTGGCCTTATCTTTATTCAGCCTGTCATTGCGGTTCCTGCCATTATGGTTAGATTCTTATTTACTCTATGGGATTGGCATTAACATTACTGGTCCGTCGCTTTGCATAAACATTCTTTATTCTCCTATGAATATCTGTAGTACATTCCCTCACAAAAAGAAATTCTATGACAGCTATTAGATTTCTACGTGTACACAAAGCATCAGTCGTTTTAAAAAAAGAATTGTGTAGTAAAAATATAATGTTCCTGTTCCTAATTGTTTCATAAACAGTAGCGTTCTATGTCTTAGTGACTTTACTGCTTTGCTTGGAGTGAAATTGAAAGTTATTGTTTATAGCTTAAAAAATAGGAATTCATCGTATAAGAAAGGAAGATTAAAATGTATATATCGTATATATATACTTGAAAGTATGAAAACGACTAGTAATAAAAGCGAGGATGCTGCAACTACTAAAAAAAAAAAAAAAAAGATAACTCACGTGACATCCGTCTGTTACCCAGTCTGAAACGCTTTCCTTAAAATATAGGCAACCGGAAGTGAATGTGCGCAGCGTATAATTAGTTGTGAAGTTTCCGGTCTTTGGTTCGAAATTGGGAATAGTCGAATTAGGATAATACATATCGATCTCATCAGCCTCTAACTGCCTCACCCCGACATATACTTTACCGGTCTGATTGCCGACAACCTCATCACTTACAAATACCATATAAGGGTTAGGCCAATCTCCATCCGTGTAATTTTCTGAAAATAAAGACTACGCATTAAATTGTTGCTTGGAGTTTTAATTCATTTACTAAATTGCAGTTCAAAAAAACTACATTTTTGCAGAAGATATTTTATGCTGGTTTTTCCGTACGATGCTGCATGTGTATAATTTGGGAGGAGTTGGGATGTCATAGTTACAAATTTTAATTGTGACTATGAGTAAATTAACAATTTATCATTCTTACAAGTGTTCTAAATTTATTTACTATTAGGTTGTTCGGAAAATAATATCCGATTTTCGAATCGGGTTTTATTCCAGAAATAATATATTTAAACATTGTTTAAATCAGTTAAAAGAAGAACCCTGGATATCCATGCATTTCTCCTATAGAGTTACAAACTGATCTATGCTTTTACGATAAAACTCTAAAGGTTTGAACCCTAAGAAATTTTTGAATGCAGTTTCTACTTCTTTCCAACAGAATGCCGTTTGGCATAAAGAGTTATCAAGATGCTTGAAAAAGCCGTAGTCAGTGGTCAATAGATCAGAGGAATATGGCGGATGTGACAAAATTTCATATTCCAAGGTGAGCTTCTGCAGTGTGATCCTTGCAACGTGGCTCATCATCATCATCATCTTGCGGCCTCAGCCGAGATTGAACTCACTACACCTTTCCAGTATTCCTTATCTTCAATACTTTGATTGGTGTAGTTCATAATCTTGTCAAATAGCTGAATTCTTGATGCTTCGCTAGGGCTATCAAGGGTGTTTTTATCGTGACACCATCACTAAATGGATTGCCAACCAAGGCTCAGAGAGACTCCATTCACCCTCCGCGGGTTTTTGAATTCAGAGTTTGCCTTCTCCTAGACCAGTTGCCACCCAAGGCTATAGAACCCAGTCTGGCCTGCTATTTACCCATAGCTGGAGGGAGAAGAAGAGGATTCACACCTTTTCTAACGTGGCTCAGTATTGCCATAAAACAGAATTGACCCTCGACTATTACCCAGTGCCAGTCGCATTTTTTTTAAATTGAATGTGCATTTCATCCAGTTGCTGGCAGTAAACTTTGTCACTGATGCTCTGCTTAGATTCCAAAAAGTTTTAAGACCACCACCAAACATTCACAATAATCTTCTGTTTCGGTTTTGAACAGTGTTTGGGTCCTTCGTCATGAACACGCCAATGAGCCGATCCTTTACGATTGTCATAAAGGATCTATTTCTCATCATAAATCCATATTCGATAAATAAATGGAACAAACGTGTGTCGAACACCCTTCAAAATGTCAAACTCTTTGACTGTTACTGAGTTTATGTGGAACACATTTATTGAGATTTTTCACCTTGACAATTTTCTTATATTTGTCTGATATTGTTAATAAGGTGACACCCATTATCTGAGACACTTTCTCCGACAATTTGACGTGGGTTTTGTTTGACTGGTGTTTTCAGATGCTGATTGTCAATTGCAGATGGACGTCCCCTACCAGCTTGATCTTCAAGACTCGTATTCCTACTGCAGAAATTCAAAAACCAGCATCACACTCTCTAATCACATCCTTCACACAATGCTCTGTGAGTGTTAGCAACAGTTTTAGAAGCCTTATACGCAAGCTTGAACTCATGCAGCAAAAAAGAAAGCGCATCTCTTCTTTTTTCAAGATGAGGAATTATATAATTTTTTAAGTTAAATTCTGAAAAAGATTGATATAAAATTAATAAAGGGAACACTTTAATTATTAGGAAGTAGTAAAATATTTTTGTGCAATTATTATAAAAATATTAGAACATAATTAAAATGTTTATTCTAACATCGGGCATTATTTTCCAAATAGTCTAATATATTATAATAAATACGTTGACAATAATTGGAATAAAATTTACAATTGCAATTTACATTTTTTTGTTTGTATGGTTCAGACTAAAATCAAAATATCTGAACCACATTTAACGTCGATAAGGAACCTTACTTTTAAAAGGAGTTGATCTACGGTGACCCCAATAGGTACTGGGTGCTCCCAAAGTGTTACCTAATTAGACTTTACACCTGATGCTCTAACAGAGAATCAAAGAAGCCTGAGTTTTGCTCTCACAGGATTTCAGTGGCTGCCTCCGATATGTAAATAGGGGATCGACTCAGCTGGACTCGGGAAGTGTACACATAACAGGAAGATATATAAGCACCCCACCTAAGAGGGAAAAGACAGTGAGTCTCTTACATCTTCGCGAAAAGATCCACGTTCTCATGGAAGTCCCTCAAAAACGTTACAGGCCGATATAAATTGCCAAATTCAAATAAACAATTATTTATTATTTAGACTCGTAGTCAGAATAGGTCTTTGCAACGATCTCATTGCAGTAGTTTCGAAGATTACATGAAGAAGTCTCCAGTTAAAAAGTTTTTTTTTTTGTTTATAACCTTTGGTTCACTGTGTCGTGCTAGACAAATAAAAATCTGTCTTACATATGTATAAGTTTACCATTCGCCCATGCTTAAAATATTGCTGCCACGTATGGTCCTGATATATATTTAGAGATTCTTCATAAAATCAAAAAAAGAATCAACAATATTATCGGTCCTTGCCTAACATCTCAGATTCATTCATTTTCCCACCAACGTAAATTTGCCTCCTTGTGCTTTTCGTAGTAATTGTTTGGGTGAATGGTACCTAGACTTTATGGAGTTAAGCGCAGTACTGGACTGGCAACTAGGACTCATCAATTTACAGTTGAGTTGGTTAGATATAGCCGTAAGTTCTATGCCAATAGTTTCTTTTCTCGCACTTCCCGCTTGTGGAACTCTCTTCCAGCTACATGCTTTCCAGACAATCAAATTTGAATGCAGTCAATTGCTATCTACCGTCTTCCTGATTAATCTTCTATTGTCTCACTCCGTCTAATGTTTCTGTTTTCTAATTCTTTCACAGCCGCTTGTGTCTTAGTGGCTTACTGCCTTGCTTGGGGTGAATTCGATTAAAAGAAAATCAAGTATAGCAATAAAAGTCACTATAATGCAAGGGGTTAATGAGAGTGAAAGAGAAAGAACGATAAAAGTATAAGATTCAAGGAGACATAAGCTGACATTGCATTTAAATTTTGTAGTTGACAAGCAAGCAGGAAGCAGGCGAGAAGTGCGGGAGAAGAATATATTAGCATAGGACTTACGGTTACATTTAGCAAATTCAACACTGAAATAGTAAGACATAGCAACCAATCTATTACTACACTTAAAGTTATGAAGTCGAGGTACCAAAGAGGAAAGTTACCGTGAAAAATAAAACAATAAAAGTACTAAGACGCAAGGGGTTACTAATTTGGGAAAAATTGAGAATAAGAAATTATTAAGTAGAGAGAGAGAGAGAGAGAGAGAGAGAGAGAGAGAGAGAGAGCAATAAAAGAAAAGAAATTAAGAAGACAGAAGATAACGGTTAAAATTACATTTAAATTGTTGAAGATCAATGTTGACCGGAAAACAGGAAACCGAAGAGTTCCACAGGCGAGAAGTGAAAGAAAAGAAACGGTTAGCAAAGAACAGTTACATCTAATAGTTTCAACCTATCGCTCCTTCTGCGCTTATATTCGGAGAATCAGTGTACCAAAGAGGATAGTTCATCTGAACAACTACCGTGAAAAGCATAGTGAAACTACGATACGGCGGTAGGAAAATGGCTGGAGCTTAGACCTGATAATATTGCTGATTCTTCTTTGGATCTTGTCTCCTGGTTTAATTCTAAAAAGTCTGCTCCAAGAATGTGTTTACAATGTTTCTAACATAAAACTCTCGTTCGAAGATGTAATGTCCGTGTGAATGACATCTTATTGATAAGTGATAAACTTACCGGCCATTTCCATACTTGTTGGCACCATCTGAACATGGTCCCATTGCCCTGTGGTTATATTCGGCATCAGATTCATTCGTACAAATACCAAAAGTTGAGCGCTGGCGTTGTTTGGCTTGATCTCAATATGAAGAGATGAATTGGTATTATTTGCCCAAAATGTGTGGAAGAATAACGTTTCATTGTACAACAAGACAGGTTGTATCTCAGTAGGCGGTGGTGCCTTGAATGTTTGGTCCCTTGGAATGACAATTTCGATTGGTTCCTTCGTTCCAGATATCGAAATATCCGATTGGTCATTGGACATGTAGTTAATGGACATAGTTCCAGAGGAATCCGACACGGCTTTGTTTTCAGCAAAACTGAAAATGTTGCCTGGTGTTGCCATTACCTAAAAATATAAATATTCAAATATTATTATTAACTTTTCTCATTCTGCCATACATTCTGCATTACTATAAAATTGAAGGTTTTGATTTAAGTGTCGTATTTAGGTTTCGTTGAAAATGAAATATTTTCAGTTGGTATTTTATTATAATATGTTAACTGTGTCTGAAATTTCAGTTATTCGCATCTGAGTCGTAGAAGTGAAATGGCGGAAATTTCCGTCATTCGCAGTTAATGGTTTGTTTTTGCAATCTTTTAAGAGAAAACTAGAAGAGAAATCAACAAAAATTCCAAAAGCAAAGTATTAAGAAAAAGGACATTTTCGTTAAAGGCAAAAAAAAAGTGTTGAACTGAGATGAAATATCGATCCTAATATGCGGCAGTGAATTCTGGACAAATTCCTCACAGATGAAGAGAAGATTTGAGGCAACAGAAATATAGTTCTACAGAAGGATGACGAGAATGAACAGAGCTTTTAAACAATGAAGAAAATTAGAAACAAGAAGGATACTTATATTCGGAAGCAGAAATATGCTCATAATGAGGAAGAGGTGTTTGGAGAATTTGACACTCACAGGACATATCGAATGCAAAAGGGGCTGGTGAAGGCAGCGAGTCACCGACCTGACCAGCTTGTGCAAATGGATGGCGGAATGTAATTTCTAGTAAAACGACAAACATTACTAAGAGCTACAAGACATAGGAAGTTGTGGACGGTCATAATCACCTACAACCAGAAGGAAAACGGTGCATAGAAGATGTGAAAAATTAATAAAACATCCATAGTAAAATTCAATGAATAGACCAAAACCATTCCAAATTATTTCTGATCTGTTTGTAATGATGTCGTCTTTGGATTGTGGGGATCGGTCGGTAAATCCTCAGGAACGACCCAACGCTGTATCAAGAGACTAAATGAACGGCGGTGAATTTTTCTTTACAAGAAAGTGAACATGAAGAAAAGCTCAAGCTAATACGATGTAAATGTAGTTGTGTAATCGGGCAAGGTCTCGGTGCATGAAAAACAAAACTTTGAAAGTCTTGTAGTATTAAAACGAATTCATTAAAATACATGAGAAAAAATCTCATTTATTTTATGAGAAAATTGGCGTATATGGAGTGTATCGTCAATGATAGTACTTTTCTCAGCTGAATTGGGATGCGGTACTTTACTGGTCTATATCCAACTCTTACACATGTCTCCTAGAAGTCGCATAGGCATTGCGACGGCCGCACCCCGGTGAACGGCATCAATCTGCCAGCTAAACAGTGAGGATAGTCGGAAGTGATTCCCAACCTGACCGGTGAATGGGAACACCCAGTCGACAGCCTGGGCGTAGAAGCTGAGACTCAGAGGTCAAAAGCTTTACAAAAGTAGGCTTTTGAGAGGAGGGACCTCAACATCCCCGATGCAAAAGGAACCGGCAAGCCATTGCACTATTTTGCTTTGAATGTCACCATGAAACACAATTGTGACCACAGCGACACAAAATGCAATGAATAAGTGACGATGATGATGATGATGATGATGATGATGATGATGAGGAGGAGGAGGAGGAGGAGGAGGAGGAGGATGAAAATCGTGAAGAAAGTTTATATCGATTAGGGATCGATGAGAGAAAGAATCTGTTAAAAATCTTAATTCGGACTAATACCCCAAATTTGCTCCATCGTGATGAGCGGTTATTACTCTCAATGAGGTTCGTTGTCACGAACACTTACTGGGTCTAAAGCTCACTCCTGACCTCAAATTGAACTCGTTTATTTGTGGCATCGCTAAAGATGCTCAAAAAATGGTCGGGTCTTTGTATCTTTCAAGAAAAGACCAAACGGCTGCTGCCATAGTCTCTCTTTACAAGAGACAACTCAGACCAAGAATGGAGTATTGCTGTCATATCTGTTTCAAATAATTTTTCACTATTCTTCTATTATGTTATTTTTAAAGACTTTGTTTTAATATTTTTATTTTATTTTATTTTTTTTAATTTAACATTTTAAAATTTTCCTTACATTTGAATGTATATCCTTTAAAAATTTTGCTAAGTGTCCCGTTACTTAAAAAGGTTGAGAAACACTGCATTAACCTTATACTTTGAGTGGCCCTTGGGCTTTATATTGGGGGAACGATAAAAAAGATTCAGTAAGAAGCAGACTCGAATAAATCCAGTAGAATTAAAATTCACCAAGTTCCCGTTGAATCCGCCTTGCTAGGACTTGACAAGATTAATGGTTTCTTGGATAAGAAATTCGATCAATCTAATAAAGAGGTTTTGATTTTGTGCTATTCGCCAAATTCTATATGGAATTATAGAAAGAATCAAATCCTGGACATTAAGCCATTTGTCAATTTGTCAGCATTACAAGCATCTGTTTTTCAGACTCTGAAAGAATTTTAGAAACTAGAGATTAACTGCAAGAAAGCAGCCGTACATCAACATGAAGATAAATGCAGAAAAATTATATTTAAGGGACGCGCGTGGGATAATAAGCGATTAATCCATCCGAACACCTTAAGAGACACTTCTTCGGGCAAACTATGGATGAACGTACACAGAGAGACTATACTTCAGCATCATATCGAAGTCAGATAACGCTTCAAGACTCGTCTTTGACATTAGATAATCATATGCTTATAATAAAGAACATTTGCAGAACGCTAACTAGGCGTTCGATCTTTATTGACTGTGCAAAGATATTCCATTTCAGTCAAAGCAACAATGGATCGAAGAGCCCTCTATATCAGAGGCCCACCTAACCACGGGGCCGAGGACCGATCCGTGGATCATTTGCTACCGGGCCCCAAAGAAATAATTACCGTATTTTCTGCACTATAGTCCGCACCTGTATATAACTCGCACTCCTATAAATTCAACTAGCTGGTCATAACTGACTTCGACGCTGGCGATCGGTTTTTGTGAAGCTATGTTCCCCTAACTCTAACCCCGTCCACTCAAGGTTCGAAGACACAATTCATATATAACCCGCACCGTTATATAACACGCACCTTACATATTTAGAGAAAAAAGTCGCGGGTTATAGTCCGGAAAATACGGTAACTTGTTTGGAATGATATAATAGATAAATTGAATATTGGACTTTAATTTACAAAGATTTGTTTAAATATTCAACATTCATCAATTCAATACTATCTATCATAACTGTAAGTACATTAGTGTATATTTTTATTTATTTGTAATAATTTTTATTCCCAATTAATTTTCAGTTTCTACTCTGATTCTACATTGATTATACATTATGGTAAGTTGATATTGATATGATAATAGTGTTAGGTATCTCAGAGAAACTAAGCAAGCAAGTGTGTTGTCGAGCTAGAGCTCAGATATAGGAGTCAAAAGATTATACAGTTTTTCTCCCTTTTAATAAATTGCTCTTTTTATTATTGCTCTCTTTATCAAAATGCACTTAAATTACACATACATGCCACTACCGGTCCGCAAAAAGATTGTCCAGCATGAAGCCGGTTTGTGGTATTAAAAACGTTTGGAGGCCACTGTTCTACATCACGCCACAAAACCACGAGCACACAACGTATTAGATGAAAAATTTTGAGTCGATGAAACTGCAAAAAAAAAATCACTATCGATCACAGGCGTTGACAGCGACGGTCCCACACAAGTCCATAGTTTTGATTCAAATTCTGAAGAAAATAATGATGAAAATAGATCATCAGGTGCAAATATGTCAGATAAGGATCCGGAGATAAATCAAATAAGAACACTCTTTTCCAAGTCTTTATTTGACTTTTGCTAAAAAAAATGTAGAAACTTAAGCAGCTAAGTGGTTAAAATCAAAGTTCTATTATCTAGGTAACGTTGTTCTGTACTTACCTCAAGGGCGACAACTTCGTCGGGGTCACAATTTCCTCCTTTCATACTGCACCAATCTGGAAGTTTAAAACCACCACGTCCTTCTCCCATTTTTTTGTTGCTCAGATCATTGGCCGAAGACTTGGCTATGCTGACAGCTATTTTGGGCGTAACCATATTCATTGGGTCTTCACCTGGCACTAAAGAACTTGATAACGTTTTTGTCACAGCCCCCATCGAACCCATGATTTTCTTTGATTCTTTAAGAGCCTAAAAAAAGAAAAGAAAAAAGCAATAGTAATTCAGTTACTGATTTTGTTTAATTGATACCGCATAAAAAATAAATCAACCATTACTCGAATAAAGAAAGAAAATCGCAAACCAAAGTAATCCATTGTTATCCATTCTAAGGGATGATTATGATGTTTCACTTAAAAAGGAACAGCATATATCAGGGGTGGCGAAATTACTTTTAATATGCGGCCGAGCTCCTTTTGTCATCACAGTTAATATAAAAGGTAAAAAAGAAAGATTTCAAGCTTTATAATTATTTAATGGGTTGAATTGGGACTCCATTGAATTAAAACGTTCATAGTAAAAATATTTAATAATTTATATCCTAATTTTAATGCTAGATCTGAATGAGACATTATTCTTTAGTGTTGGTAAGGAATGGTGGGAGGTAGAGAGATTAAATCAAAGGTTAGAGAGGAATGTCAGCAGACTGCGCTCATGGATAAGGGGGTTAAGGCGACCGCACTCACGTCATGTACATTAATGCAGTGTAATATAAGTCATTGAACTGTGCAGACCTAGTTGGTACACTTCGGATACAAGTTATGTTTAAAAGAGCCTGTAAAAATTTTAGACGGAAGATGGCCTCCTCAAATTGTAAGAAACGAAAGTATGAAGATGAAAACAGAAATGTGAAGTCAGAGTGGAAAGGAAATAAACTGTTGTGCCTTCTCTGCCATGTGTCATTTTGTTCATGTCTTGCGGCTCTCAAACATCTGAACTTTACCGTATGTGGCTCTTACATTAAACAAGTGTGCCCCCCCCCCGGCGTATGTATAGTTGGATTTTTTTTTTTGGGGGGTGCACAGGTTCACACCCTTTCTCACGACATTCCTCTATAATCCAGTGGCAAAATAAGTCCCCGAGAGGCTGCTGTAGGATCAATTGTAGTTAGTTTCAATTCAAGGAATTCCCGTTTAGAGCTTCCCGTCACCAGCTCGAATTCAGTGTTTTCCTTTTCCTAGACTGGCTGAAAACCAAGGCAAAAAAGACTAGTCTGCTCTGTTATTTAGCCTATAACTGGAGGGAGATGGATTCATGCCGTTTTCGAGGGAATTAGTTCTGAGTCAAAGCAACAGAATTTGAACCCGGCAAGCCAATTTCACTTTCCGTGCCGATAACTGTTACACTGCCCGAACATCTTGCATGTAGTTACTATTTGATTAAGAATGAAGAGTTGCGTAGAGTTTCTTTAATATTTTGATGTTGTTTATTCATACATCTTCGTAACGTTGACTGGAAGTTACACGCTCGACTTATTTGATTTTTTTATATAAAAACATAACTAAATAATATAATTTGAAACAATATTAGAATAGACAAAATCGCAAAACATGGATTAAAATCTGCCGGCCTAGATATCAAAAGTCTTAAAGAAAATGGATAGAGTTGTAAAATAGCCACTACAACTAAAAATAAACTTTTTTTTCAATTTTTTCTTATTATTATAGATTAACCACTTGTGACTACGAATATCAAATGAAAAAAATGACTAAATTTTATAAGATAATAGAGTATCCAATTCGCCATTTAAGTTTATCTTTTTTTATTATTTGAAATTCATAATCTGGAACCGAACATGGGAACAAAGACGAAGTTTTAGAGAAAATGGAAACAAAAAGGAAACTTATACTTAGCATCACGAAGAGACAATTGGAATTTTGGCGGCACGTAATGAGGAAGGGGGACTTGGAAAATCTGATACTCACAAGATAGATTGAGGGCAAGAGGAAAGCAGCGCGTAACATACTTGATGGGCTTGAGTAAATAGATGATAGAACAAGTTTTAGGAGAATTAACAAAAAGACAAAACTTATTAAGAGCTACAATGACAGAAAGATGTGGAGGACAATGATCGCCTACGTCTTAAAGGGACATGGCACATAAAATAAAAATCTGGAGGGCTTCATCGATAGTGATATAGGAAAAAAGAACATCAGATTTCAAAAGGTTTTCTTTTCTTTTTTATGCATTTGAATAAATCACGACGTATCAGGATATTTTGTTTTGGCTTCTGTAATTTATAATGAACTAGCAGGAGAGCCCGGCGTTGTCCGGGGATGTAACAGTAAGAGATAGATCAAGTATCCACCATCATAAAGACTGAAAAATAAAATTGACAAAGATTATTGTTTAAGGTTGACGGACACTCATGTCTTAATTAGTTTTTTTTGTTTTGTTTTTTATTTTTCTGTTTTTTTTTTTCGAATTGGTCAAACCCAAACTCAAACAAAAACATTGTTTTCAATCGTTATGAGTCTACCGATTGAATAGAATTTTATTATAAACAATTGTCTTGTAAATGGAATTTTTAAAGCATTCTGAATGTAAAAATGAAGAAAAAAGTGTGCAAGACAATAAGAAACACTACCTGCCAAAAAAAATGAAGTTTCGTTGAAATCGGTTGAAAAATGTAGGAAATCCAATCCCATATATAAACGAACACACACACACACAAACAACCTGGGTTTTATAAGTATAACTCGATATGAGTTGTCCCACTTTCATTCTCGCGATGCCTCATAATCGTGTTTTCAAATTGATTTCATGCAAAAACAATTGTGTTTTCCAATTTTTGGCGCTGTCAGAACCACCGCAAGGTAATTTTACGTAGTCCTGTGAAGTTTTGTTGAAATCGGTTGAAAAATGTAGGAAATCCGATCCAATATATAAACGTACAGACACACAGACACACACACACACACACACACACACACACACACACACACACACACACACACACACATAAGTATGATGTACATTACAAACTGGATCTCCTATTAACCTTCACAAAATTAAATGAAAATATTGTTATTCGTGATCTGGAGTGTTTAATTTACACAGGGTACCCAGTAAAAAAAAAAAGCGCTAAATTCAGAAAGCCGTGAGACAACAGTTGAAAACTGGTGACGACTGATGCGACTGAAAAATTCACGAAGAATTTCTGCCCATTTCGTCAATCCCCACGTCGGATGTTCTTTGAAAAGTACGATAATTTGATGCTCGAAATCTGTGAGTTGTTTAGCCATACGAGAAGGACAGAAAGAAAGACGAAAGTTCCCTACGAATCGCCTTTAAATAACGAATCACAAGATCAAGCAGCAATTAATCAATCATAAAAGAACCAACCAGAGTTAAGTAATTACGCGAGAGTCGAATGATTATTCAAAATTATGAATGTTCAAAAAATTTGTTCAAGGTTATTCAAGGTCAATTATCCCTGAAAGATAAAACAGTGATAATAAATTTGCCGCTTTACTAGACACCCTGGAGTCATATGGAAAAAATGATTATTTCTGGTCATAGTGCTTATTGTACAATACTATGTGTGTGTGTGTGTGTGTGTGTGTGTGTGTGTGTGTGTGTGTGTGTGTGTGTGCTGAAATAAAGAGAATTTCAGAGAGAAAGAAATGAACAAAACAGTTAGAGAGAGTGGGAAAGAGCGATAGACAGAGTGAGAAATAAACAGACTAACGAAACAAAATAATATTACATACATAAATACATAAAAGAAAGAGAAATTTCGGATTAACCCCCCCACACACACACACACACACACGCCTTAAAACCTACTTAACATATCGATTGAAAACATGGAGGCTTTTCTTAAGCCTTTTTTTAAAATAATATTCTTAATCCTTCCACTGATTCACCAACATCGAAAAGATAGAATCAGCCATTTAATATTTTTCATTCCTCACTTGTAATCACCACCTCGACAACCATCATGAATGATATTTTATTTAATCGCAAAATAAAATAAAATAAAACTGACCTCCTTCGTTTGCTGTTCTTTGTTGGCCAGATATTTAAGTTCATTAATCCCTTTGGCAGGATCTCCCGAAGATATTGCTGCAAATTAAATAATAGAACGTTCTTTATCTAGAATAGCAATTATCGATTAATTGAGACAATTGTTAAGTCTTCTGCTATGAAAGTTGGTTCACTGTGTTGTGCTAGACAATTTTTCTTTGCCAGAATCTATGCTACACATTTATATATCTACCATTCGTCCATGCTTTGAATATTGCTGCCATATCAGGTCTGGTGCCCTTACCATATATTTAGAGATTCTTGATAAAATCGAAAGAAATATCCGTAATTTCATTGTTCCTAACTTGGCATCTCGGCTTCAGTCACTTTCCCACCATAGTAATGTAGCTTGCCTGTGCCTTTTCTATAAATACTTCCTCGGAAATTGTTCTGATTAAATGTCCTCTATGGTACGCTATGAATTTAAGCGCAGTACTAAATTGGTAGCATTTTATAGTTGAAATTGATAGCTAACTGCAAGTTCTATGCTAACAGTTTCTTTTCTCGCACTTCTCGTTTAGGGAACTTTCTTCCAGCTTATTATTAATATTCCCTTACGGTGTGTGCAAATCAGTTGAATCTGGTATTTGCCATTGAAATTCAAGTAACAACGAATCTAAGTATTCCAGCACGCTCCTAAGGATTGTAAATGTTTCCAGCAATGCTAACATCTAAATGCTCACGGCTTCACGCAAAGTTGGAACGACCAAAGAAAAGTTTGTAATTACTTCATCGTTGGAGGGTCGGCATGGCTATAATGGTCGAACGTTTGATTCTTCCAACTCAGTCTTGCGCTGAGTTGGAACAACCAAAGAAAACGTTGATTTACTTCAGGTGAAAGTTTTGAAAAATACTTGCGAATGATGGGCGTTGCAAAGTGGAAAGAGAGTTCAGTCGTCGACGGACCGAGGAACAAACGGGGACCAGCGAGGACGCCCTCATCTACGCCCTCGTCTACGCCCTCATCTACGTCCTTGTCTACGTCCTTGTCTACGTTCTACTACATATTGGAGCAAAGTAGAAGGAAGATCAAGAGGAAAAAATGTTTGTTTTATATATGCTTAAAGAGTGTCACCTAATTGATGTTTGACGAAACCAGTTGGGATAATAAAATGTCCGATTCCTTTAATATTAGCATCATGGGATTTTTTTTTTTTTGTTTGTTCATTATTATTTTATTTATTGTTTATTTAATTTTCCCACAATGTACATGTTTTCGTTTCTTTATCCGTGTCGTATTTTTTATCAAAAGTTCTATATTAGTTCCAAATTAAGTAGTACACGAAATCTAATAGAAGAAAATTTACCTTTTCCCTCTTCCACCCGCCGGTAGTAAGATGCGACACAAAGTCAGTTCAATGTCAAGGACAAACTTTACCCAGTCTCCGCGACCACTGTCACGTTGGCGTCGGTATCTACCAACCCTCTCTCTATAGGGCTTCGAGGAATGTACTTCTAGCGGTTTGGAATCCCCGGGACCATTCTTTGTTCTGCTATCCATTTACACTACCTCGTTATGTAGATCATTCGCTGATTCACTCTGCCCGTCTTGCCTTCGATAAGCACTGTGAGTGTTAAATTTTCCAAGCCGTCTATCCTCGTTATTTGTCCCAGAAATGCCTGCCGTCTCTTTCAGATTCTAAACAGAATTGTTCTTTTTGTTGCCATTTTCCTTAAAACGTTCCCGTTGCTCCCATTCTTCAGTCTATGGTCTTCTCCGCATCCTTCTATGGACGCACGTCTCGGTTGCCTCATGTCACTTCTTCTTTTGTGAGAAAATTATCCAGCATCCACTACCATATAAGGTATTCTTCTTCTTTATGTGCCGTGTCACCTTGGAACGTAGGTGGTCATGACTCTCCACAATTTCCTGTTCCTTGTAGCTTTTAATAAACTTTGGCATTCTGTTATTTCTCCTAAACCCTGCTCCCCCCCATCCATTTAGTCAAGCTCATTAAGTATTTTATGCGTTGTTTTCCTCTGTCTCTCTTGCCCTTAATTTGTCCCTTTAGCGTCAGATTTTTCACTCTTTCCTTCCGCTTATGTGGCCAAGAAACCTCAACTGTCTCCTCCTGATGTATTAGTTTCCTTTTGTTTCCATTTTCCCTAAAACTTCATCGTTGCTCACATTTTCGGTCCATGATATACTCAGCTTCCTTCTGTAGAACCACATTTCTATTGCTTCAAGTCTCTTCTTTATCTGTGAGGAGATTGTCCAGCATTCACTACCATATAGGAAAACAGATATCACGTTACGTGTATGGATTCGACTGGAATTCGAACTCGATTGAGGAATCGGGGAGCCGAGTTCGAATTCCAGTCGACTCCATTACATTCAATTACGTGCTAATACCCTTGGGAAAGGCATGAAACCTCTTCTTCTCCCCCCACCAGCTATGAGTAAATAGCATGACAGACCGAGTTCTATAGCCTTGGATGGCAACTGGTCTAACGCAGAAAGAAATGGCAACCTACTGCGGGAAAAAAATCTGCCTCGTCAGTCATGTATCTTTCAATACATGACTGACGAGGCAGGTAATTTTTGTTCTAACAAAACTGGAAGAAAGATGCAAATTAATTTCGATCAACTTACATCCTTGTGAACTGTCCAGGTCAGTGTCGTACACCATTGTATCGGCGACATTCTCCATGTCCTCAATCAAAGGGTCTTTGATGTGGTAATTCGTGGCCTGAAATATCAAAAAAGCATTAATTTCATGCCTCCATTTCTTGTTTTGTAAAAAAGAAAAGAATAATGTTTTTAAGATATCTATACTAAAACCATCTGTAAACATCTAATAACATTGAATAGCGTATTGGAATATTGAAGAGATTTGCTGTTACTTGATCCCCAATTTGATATACCTGATAATTTTGACAGGAAAAAGTTGTAAAACTAAACAGAATAAAATTAATATAAACGCAATAATATCGCAATAAAAACAATTACTGATTTGTTTACGGCATTATAATTTTAAATATTTTTAATCATTTCGCCCCAAGCAAGGTAATAAAGCCACTAGGACGCAACCGGTTACTAAGTGTTAGAGAATAGAAGAAAAACTACTAATAAGGAGAAAGGACAATAAAAAAAATAATAACAATTAAGAAAACAGAAAATGACGATTGACATCGCATTTAATTTTTTGAAGATCAAGTTGACTAGAAATCAAGACGCCAGAAGAGAGTTCCACAAGTGCGATAGAAGAAACTGTTAGCATAGAACTTACGGTTGCATCAAACCATTTCAACTGTAAACTGGTGAGACCTTGCCGCTAATCTAGTACTGCGCTTAAATTCATGTAGTCTAAGTGCCATAGAGGAAAGTTCATTAGAACAATTACCTATTTATTCAAGATGGAAAGGTTAAAAGATAGAAGGCGTGGACGAACAAGAAATAAAACACACTTGTTAGAATTTAACCTAGCACCTCCATTAATCATTTGTTGTATCACTTCTGATGCAAAAACAAGGGGAAAAAAACAATTCGTGTTAGCTGTTATATGTGTTTTTCTCCTTCTTTTTGTACTCTAACAATGTGATATCTTTATCGACATGAAGTTATTTATCATAGTTAATATATATATATATATATATATATATATTAACTATGATATATATATATATATATAACTTCAAATGTAATAGTATTATGCATTTGAAATAGACGTACTTTATTTATTAAACAGTGTATATTATATTACGTCTATCAGTCTATCGGCCTGCATTCTCCGGCTGGCCCTGAGGGACACAGATTCGATTCTTGCCGGAGAGCGAAATAAGAGATCTCGAACATTCAGGCCGGTAGATGAAAATAAATAAATATATTGTTTAATAAAAATAAAAAAAAACGGAGCGTCTACTCAAATATGAGTATCCACTAAAAAATAACGTCTAAAGTGATAAAAATCTGTCGGATAAATAAAAAAAATAAACATTCTAAAATTCCCTTTGTTTACGTTTGGATACGAAACTGTGCAGATATGAAAAACTTCGAGAGCTCTACGACAGAAGAAATTTCGTCTGACTGACTGTTCGCTGTGGCCAAGTTGGCAAGACGTGCCAGGCTAAACGGTAGCTTCCTCCACCCTTAAGGACCAGGTTCGATATCTATCGGAAAGCGCATTTTTTTTTCTTTAATAAGATCTCTCGAACATTCAAGCCGGTAGACGAAAATAAATAAATATACTGTTTAATAAATAAACGTAGCGCCTATTCAAATACAAGTATCCACTAAAAATTACGTTTAATGTGATCAAATCTGTCGGATTAATAAAATATCGATTCTGAAATATGTGTGCGTGTATGTCATTTATAAAATAATTGATTTTTATTTATTAACCTGCCAGTTTTAATACTTGAACGTTATTTTTTTAGAGGATACCCATATTTGTGGATACCCATTATTCAAGCCGGTAGACGAAAATAAATAAATATAATATTTAATAAATAAACAGAGCGTCTACTCAAATATGGGTATCCATAAAAAATATGTGCTAATATATATATATATATATATATATATTAGCACATATATTTGGTTGGATTGATGTGAGTTTGTGAACCTGGGTTTCACGCTTTTGCGATCGTCAGACAAATATATTGAGCGCTTTCTAATAAGTACCGCGCTTTCTAATATATAAATAATTATATATATATATATATATATATATATATATATATATATATATTCTCTTTCCATTCCTACAAATGAAAAGTTCTATAATCTTCGTACATTATTTTGTAATGGCCACGTGTAAGATTAACAATAAATGAGATCGATAACAGAAGATAAGACGCAAATTGCTTTCACGCCTTCTGCTGAAGGAACATGGCGTTCGACAATACAACTTCGGAATATTTGGACTATTGTCCTTAATTTGTTTTAATGCGGCAATAAGAATAACCAAAGACTCAATTAGGCGTAATTTTATTTTTAAAAGTTTTATTGGACAATATTCTGTATAATATCTGGTTTAATAATTTTTTATTTAACACTCTTAATCTCTTAAACGTCAGTCTTATTTTTGCTGACGAAGATAATAACCTGAATAATATGGCGTACTAAAAATTCCTAACATCTTAAGCACCATTCTTATTTTTATTCCTCCATATATAAACCTGAAACGTCACGTCACCTTTATAAAAAGAAGAAAGAGTTAACTTCCTTAAACTTTCATAAAACGCTACCTAGCAAGCTGCGGCAATTATTGCTACTGAGATAGTCAGGAATCCGAACCTTTGAGTAACTTCGAAACAGGCTATCCTATCAGTAAGTTTCTAATACCCGGTCTATTGTACTGCCATTTTATGAATGGCTTCTGGATCGTGCAGTAGTCTCCAGTCGGGCCTCTCGATGTCATGATGATGGGTACTGTTACGGGAGTATCTCCGAGGGAGTCAACCCAGGTTATTTCTTCGTGCATCTCCAATGGGTCTCTGTTTCATTGCTTACTAATTACTCACCAAAACCAACCAAAACAAACATGAAAGTAATCAAATTGAAAACGAATAAAACTAGCAAACCCAACCTCAAAAAAAAGTAGACCCCAGTTATACCATGTCTTACACCAGTCTGAATCTGACCTCCTAGTCCTGTCTGAAACGGGTATCAATGCCTCAATCCCATTGCAGGAGCTCACAATCCTGGGCTACTCACCCATTTTAACAAAATACGACTACCTAAATCGCCACGGTTACGGCCTCGGTGCCTACGATGGGTTTCTCTGTGGCAGTGACAAAAAAAAAACGAGGACCCTGATATCCCGTATATGTGTTTCCGCGTAGCACTTATCCATAGTACCACATTTGTCTTTGCCCTGTATCATTCTCAGGGTGAAGGGTCGGTAATCTTTGATCGAATATCAGAGAGGATTGACAATATCCTCACTGAATTTCTACCGGCCAACTTTCCCATATGCGGTGACTTCAATGTTTACCACAAAGAGTGATTAGTTCACTCCAACAAAACTGATGTGGAGGGCAGATATTGCAGAGACTTCTCCATCGCATATGAACTAACTCAGATCATTGAAAAACCTACCCGAGTCCCGGATGCGACGGGACAGCTGGCGAATCTCTTCGACCTTTTTCTAACATCCTACCCTGACAAGTGCTCAGCAAAAGTTTTAGGCCCCGTTGGCACGTCAGATCGTTCCCTAGTATTCAGATTGACTCTAAACCAATGACATGCCCCTGATTTAACGTACCATAGAACTGTTTTTCGCTATGTGATGGCAGACTGAGGCAGCTTTCGGTCCTACATGACGGAAACTCCTGTCCAAACCTTCTTCAAACTTGTTGCCCCCCAAAAACTACTGCCCTAATCTTTGAATGGACCATCTCTGAAATGGAGTGATTTATACCCACCAAAATACTCCAACAAAAGCCAAACATTCATCCCTGGTTCACCCATGAATGCGCTGCAGTCATAGCTCACCGGAACAACTACTTCAAAATCTATCGCAAGGGGCGATGTAGTCTAACTTTTCCTTCTTTCAGAACCGCCCGCAATCGCTGTAAGAGACTCCTGGAAAATGCAAAGTGCAACTACGCGTGATCTGTCCAGGCCAAGATTAAAAATAAACAAATTGGATCTCACGAATTCTGAAAGATCACAAACCAAATTATGAATAGAGGCAAAGTGGCTGTGCCCACTATTATAAATGGCCTGAGATCATATTCTCCTCGACAGACATGGCGAAGCTGTTCACCTCGATCTTTGCCTGAAACTCAACGTTAGATAACGAAGGCAATCCCCCCCCCAACTTCCCATGAACACAATCTCAGTAATATACTCATTTCAGTAAGAAAAGTCTCTAGAATTAGTTTCCCCACTCCAACCTCTTTCACTCATAGGCGGGAGGTGGCGAGCCTCTCATTGCTCTCTCGCTACTATCATGGAAAGTGTTCGGACAAACTGCATCTCCTGTTTCCACCAGGTCTGACTTTCCTGGCTAGGACCCGTCATGCCACTTACATAGTAGCAAACCACCCACATTTCCTCCATATTCCATTGGTGAGAAGTTCCACTCAAACAGCTTCTTCCCGCAAACCACTGCCCTACGAAACAGACCCCTGTGGAGAATTTTTACGTCGATCACTACAATCTTAATCTATTCAAGTCTAGAGTCAACAGTTATCTTCCACTCCTATCCATATAAACTACCCCTTATCATAACCCTCTACCTCAAGTGGCACCCGGGCCTTGTACAGAGTGAACCTTACTGGAAACAAAAGAAAACGATCGGTCCTCAGTGACTGTCACATGAGGAAAAGGTGAGTAAATATTAAATATCTATAATTTATAACAGTAAAAACTTAATACCTATGACAGCTTAGATAGATAGATAGATAGATAGATAGATAGATAGATAGATAGATAGATAGATGCGGCCATTTTGACTATAAAAATATTTTTATACGTTGCATGAACACCAAGACTACTTTTTATTGATACTTATTTTTTTCATCATACTTTACTGACATTTTACGTTTTAATTCGTCCTGCCTGCCACAAACAGATGCAGTTTTATACGGCAGTTATAAAACTCCAAAGTAAAAATTCTGCTCCAAAAGAATCATTTCTCTTATCATATGCTATTAAATTTATTCTACTACCAGTCATCATTAAAGTCACCTGTTGCAACACGAACCTAGGTTGACCTGGATCTCATTCCACAAAACTGACACACTAGTAATTATTCTTTTATCTAGTCATTTATTTATTGTTCTGTTTAATATCAAAGTTGGTCTTTAAATACACTGTACGATAAAAAGCATGAAAAGTAAATAAAAGCTACCAAGCTAGTTACATTCCATCATCGCTGATCAGACCCCGAACTACGAACAGTCAGGACGAATGGATGTCCCCTTGGGGAGGCTCCATGCTTTGAAAGGCTATTGCGTCTCAAGCTTACACTTGACTTTAAATGGAATTTATACACATGATCCATTGCCAAGGATGCAAGTAAAATGGTCAGCTCCCTGTACTTGACTCCTTATGCTATCCTCTACCTTTATAAGAGCTAGATCAGTCCAGTAATGGAATACTGTTGTCATATTTGAGCGAGAGTTGCCAATACCTCACTCTTCAGCCTTGGTAGTCCAAAAGCGTCTCTGAGTCCTTGTTGGTGACAACTTATTCTCCACCCTCCAACCTCTCTATCAGGCAAGATGTGGCAAGCCTTGTCGCTGCTCTGTCCCTACTTTCAAGGAAAGTGATCGGACACACTACTTTCCCTGGTCCTGCCAATTCAAACCTTCATGGCAAGGACATGTCATGCCACTTACATAGTAGCAAACCACCCACATTCCCTCCGTATTCCATTGGTGAGAAGTAAGTTCCATTCGAACAGCTTCTTCCTGCGAACGATTGCTCTATGGGACAGACCCCCAAGAGGATGTTTCCCTGATCATTACAATCTTATTCTGTTAATATTCCACTCCTGTCCGCACAGATTGCTTCCTAATGTAACCCTCTACCTCGAATGTAAAATGGTAGTCCAAAAGCGTCTCTGAATGTAAAATGGTAGTAGAGACTCAGGAAAAAAGTAAAGCCACTAAGACACTAAGAGTTACTGGGTATGGAAGGTACGTATATAGATAGATAGATAGATAGATAGATAGATAGATAGATAGATAGATAGATGCGGCCATTTTGACTATAAAAAAAATTTTATACGTTGCACGAATGCCAAGACTACTTTTTATTGATACTTATTTTTTCATCATACTTTACTAACATTTTACGTTTTAATTTAATTTTAATATAGCACTACTTCAAATAAATGGTTAGGAAGAAAACCCCTTATGATGTTTACGGCCACATCACGTTGAACCAGCAGTTCCTATACGATCACCGAAGTTAAGTAACGTTGATTATGGTCATTACCTAAATGGGTGACCGCTTGGGAATACTTCGATGTGCCGGTGGTGTAAATGGATAATGGCTCCCGGTCCTTGTAAAGGGTGAACATTATAGTAAAAAAAAAGCATTGCACAAACATTAGCCTGTCTCTCCCAGATCAGTTTTAAGTTCTTACTGGCCTGCTACCACTGTAGCAATGCTGTTCTCTTCGGTCAATACCAAAATATCATTACTTTCCGCTGTGGTCGGTAATCTATCCTTTCTCTTGTTTCTAAATATATTCACTTCCCTTGATTTGTCACTGATCAGTAAGTTGTTTTTTAAGATAAACAATTTCTTATGTACACTCTGATACATAATTCCCCAGTACTTTGCCGTCATAATATATTTACTAACGCTAAAATATCTTAACAGCATAGCAGCTTCTTCTTTATGTACGGTGTACACCCATGACCTAGGCGATCATGGCTCCCAACAATTTTCTGTTCTTTTTAGCTCTTAATAAATTTTGTCTTTTCGTTATTTCTCCTAAATCCTGTTCCGCAATCCATTTACTCAAGCTCGTCAAGTAAGTTATGCGTTGTTTTCCTCTGTCCTTCTTGCCTTCAATCTGTCCTGTGAGTATCAGATTTTCCAAGCCCACCTTCCTCATTATGTACCACAGAAATTTCAAATGTCTCCTGATGTTAAGCATAAGTTTCTTTTCTGTTTCCATTTTCTCTAAAATCTCGTCTTTGCTCACATGTTCGGTCAATGGTATCCTTAGCATTAATCTGTAGAACCACATTTCTCTTGCTCCAAGTCTTTGAGAAAAATATAGCTATATGGCTTATATATAAGAATGATCTTGAGCAGAAAATCAAGATCCTCTTCTTTTGTGTTCCAACAAATAGAACTCAAGAGAAACAATTCCAAAACAGAAACTGATCTGGAACTGGTATGAAAGCATTGATGACACTTACCCGAAATCTATCATAAAAATTCAGGATGTAGAATTAGTAAATACCAAACACTTCATATATCTCAGCGTATGGATCACTTATAACAAATATAGTACAGGAAAAAAGGAAACTGATCATGCGCCAGGGGTAGTTTCGTCCAACACCGCAAACTCCTACGAAACCAAAACATTGACCTAAAAACTCCTCGTCAGATCGAGAGTGATATGGATGTCATACATGGACTCGTTCAGATATATCTAAACCAGGCGTCGGCAACTGATTCAACCCCGCGGGCCGGATCGTCTTATAATGAAGGGTCGCGGGCCGGATCGTTTTATAATGACGGGTCGCGGACCGGACGAAGGCCATTAATGAAAAATTAAGGAAAATTACATATGCAGACCCCTGTCAACCTAAATATTTAAAACCATAATGAAAATTAAACATTGAGAAATCAGAAAAACAAAAAAAATCTAAAATTAAAAAACACCTAACAAAATTACTTTTCCTCAAAGAACGTCAAAATTCCTTCAAAGTGAAAAAATCAACCGAAGTGATGAAATTATGACGGGTAGGTTTGAAACTGTTATTGAAAACTGTTCCAAAAACGAACCACACACACACACACACACACACACAACACACACACATCAAACAAAAACGAAGCACATATACCCATACATACTGTACAAATAGTTGCAAACATATACACTTCTTTATGTACACATGCGGTATCATCCACACATTCATGAGGCATGTATGTATAATGCGCGTATGTTTAACTGTCTTTAGATTTCTGCTACCTCGCATGTCAGTCCCTCCCTGGCCTCTTTCACTTTATCGCAAAATTCGCTTCTGTTATCTTTTAATGTAGCCAAGGGTCATAACAAATATGTATCCATTATTTGACATTAAACGTAGGCAACGCAACTTGGTAAAATAAGTCTCATGAAAGATAATTAGCAGTCTAATATTTTTAGTGCACTGAGATGGGTAGACATTCTATGGAAAATGACATATAACAAATTTCATTTGAAGGTCGTCTCTCATGTTAAAAATAGAGTCATCGTTAATCAGGCTCGCGGGCCGGTCAAAATTTTTTCTTTTATTAATATCCGGCCCGCAGGCCGTAGGTTGTTTGCTCTTTGATATAAACTGTAAGCTTTCACTTTCTAAGATCAATAGTTAAAAATTGCTTTGAGGCTGTGGGTCTTGCCGAAGACCATTTTTCTTGTGAACTGACGCAACAGAAACACAAAGAACTGTACCAAATAAAGAAATCACATCACTCGAGAACTTTCAACAACTAAAATGGATAACACGTCACCCTAAAAGAAAATAATGATATAACCAAGATGTTTAAATTTGACACTACTTCAAATAAATGGTTAGGAAGGAAACCCCTATGATGATTACAGCCGCATCACGTTGAAACAGCAGTTCCCATACGATCACCGAAGTTAAGTAACGTCGATCATGGTCAGTACCTTGATGGGTGACCGCTTGGGGATACTTCGATGTGCCGGTGGTGTAAATGGATAATGGCTCGGATTATTAATCGGAGAGCCAAGTTCCAATTCCCGCAGGGATTCGTTATATTCACTTACGCGCAAATACCTTTTGCAAAGGTATGAATCCACCTCTTCTCCCCTAGCTATGGGTTAATTAGGAAGACGTGTATCACGAAACCATTATTATCACCAAAAATAATTTCTTACAATCTAAAAATATTTTCTGGTTTTAAATAACCTGTAAAGGGTTGATAAGCCGTAGAAAACAAATCAATCAATCTATCAATAACTAGCAGCATGCCCATGCTTGATTCAAAAATTGTACGACTCATACAGCAATCGCTATCACTTGACTTAAAATATTTTTTTTCTTCCTTGCCTTTAAAAAAAATTGTGCCCTTTGCCGTGCTGATGTTGCTTTGCCTTACTTCTTGCCTATCTCACACTGCGAATTTTTTTTAAATTCTATACTAAACATTAAATCTGTTACGAAAAAAGAACTAAACAAAATGAACACAAAACGATCAGCTTTAAAAAAGGACTCGTAACTGGAAAAACCGAATGAAAAAGAATGTTAACAACAAATATTTTTTCACATTTAAACCCAGTTCTGCGGAATCAGAATCAACGTTGAGTTTAAGCAAGGGAATGAGCCAATTGGAGTAAAGTGCCATGTTCAGGGATTTTTCCCACTTGTTCATACGAATGCAGCTATCGATTTTTTTTTTTTATGCTAGCATGCTAGTTAACATTCGTGTCAGTCAGCTGTTGGCTCTCACGCTGGCCAATAGAATCATCCTGCCTATTCGTGGCAGCCATAATAGGCTCTCACTTTGGCCAGTACAAAATGACCGCAAACTACATGAAAACTGCCGTAGAAGCACGAAAATATCGATTATTTCCACTATCGATAGAAGTTGGGAAATGCAAAGTCGGTTTTGGCCTTCCCGCTAACTTGGAGTATGTGCATGTAAATTTTGGTACAAATCCATCGAGAATTACGGCCGTGCATTCGTTACACACACACATCCTGCGTTTTATAGATATAGATGGAAAGAGCGATAACAGCTATTGGACTTGATAAACTGATTTTCATAAAAAGTTCTTTTACTGGCCGCTCGGCCAATGAATGCCTGTATATTTCCTTGTAGGAAAACGACTAATATTAGCATTGGTGTATAACAATAGTATTACAAAACAGAACTTACCTCAAGCGTTTCGCCAATGACAATAACAAGTTAGTATGCATTTTAACTCCTCACGGGGCGTTTCCGATCCAAGGTTCTTCAGTGTGTCTGACATCTTCACGATATTTTGTGAAACAGCTTTCTGCATTAATGAATACAATGGCAACAATAAATACGAGAATCCCAAAAGTCACAAACCAGATTTTAAATTCTCATATTTTTGTTGTTTATTTTGGTTTACAAATTTTTCATATAAGAAATTTATAACATGTAAAATTTTTATTTTGTAATGAAACGCCATAAAACACTAAAAAGAAAAGACGTTGTGAATTCAACTTCATCGCTTCAAAACGAAAGCCATAAAAAGTATCCACGCATTCGTATTTTCATTCAATCACACTTCTTCTAATAGATCCTTAATAAAAAGAAAAATCAGCAATATTATTGGTTCTGATCTGGTGTCTCGGCTCCAGTCACTTTCCCACCGCCGTTTTCATTGCCAAATCTGTACTTTTTTCTTTTTTTAAAATCATTTGGTAATTTTTGATGATCTTTTTTTTTGTCACCTAGACTTTTTAAATTTAATATTGTTAAACTTCATCGTGAAAAAATTTTTTTCATCAATTTTTTTCGTGAATTTTACTAGATGTAACCGTAAGTTCTATGTTAACAGTTTCTTTTCCCGCACTTCTCGCTTGTGGACCCCCCCCCTTTCATTTCCATGCTTCCAATCAACTTTAAAATCTAAATGCAATATTAATCGCTATCTACTATCCTCCTAATTTACTCACGACTTATTACTTATTCTTTTGTTCTCGCTCCTTAGTAATATTTCTGTTTTCTAATTCTTCCATACCCAGTAACTCCTAGTGTCTTAAAACAAAAATTACTGCCTTGCTTGGGGTGAATTGGATTAAAAAATATTAAATCAGCCCCTATCTTCTCACCTTTTCCTGAGTCTCTACTAAACCGCACCTAAATTATCTCAAGTCGGATGTAGACGAAAGTATACAATGTGTCATATTATTTTTTACCAACGAGAAAACACACAGGTTGATAATTTTCAGGGTCTAGTTAAACCGCCCAGATTAAATAAAAAATATGATCATAAAAACATCAGTAGAGAAAAATAAAAATAAGGAGCGAACACATCACGGGGAGATCTAATTCCCGCTTGCTTACTCTTACTGTTCAGCCAGCATATTCTTTTGACTCCGTCGACTGTCAGGTGTAAAATTCTCATTATTGCTCACGATTAGAGGCAGTTGATTATTCTACTCCCTTACCCTCCTTTGAAAATGCTTGTACAGAAACAGGCACATCACAGGAAGATCAAGTTCCAACTTTCTTACTCTTATTATTTTAAAATATCAGTGTCTTTTTGTTTCGATTTTCCTTAAAATATCCTCGTTGCTCACACGTTTCGTTCAATTTGAAGTGGTAAACTAAGTTTAATAAATAAAATAAAATAAAAGTATTTCTTAAATCCCCATGAAAGTATCACCTGCTTAGCATCTCATTAACATTAACACTGGCATTCTTAAGGACAGGTTAATTAGCGAACTTCGTTTCTGAAAACAAATTTCTTGGGTAAGTGAAAACAAAACATCAAAGACCTTATATTAAAGCGAAGGACACGCCATCACAAACTTGCTACACTTCTCGACCACTTCTTTCTTCTTTTTATGTGCCATGTACTTTCAGGACGTAGGTGATCATGGCTCTCCACCTCCTTCTATCCCTTGCAGCTCTCAACAAGTTCCTTCCCTCTGCTATCTCCCTCAGACCACATTCTGTCATCCATCTGCTCAAGCCCGCCAGGAATGACACGCGCTGCTTTCCCTTGTTTCTCTTTCCTTCTATTCGACCCGTGAGTATCAGATTCTCCAGGCCCACCTTCCTCACTATGTGTCCCAAAAACTTCAGCTGCTTCTTCCTGATATTAAGTGTAAGCCTCCTCCTTGTCTGCATCCTCTCCAAGACCCCATCGTTGCTCACACGCTCGGTTTACGAAATCCTCAGTATCCTTCTGTAGAACCATATCTCGGTCGCCTCG